CACTTCAGACTCTTGCCCATCAGCCATGCCACTGATACACCAAAGGGGTTGGGCATAGCCAGCATTCAATTTCAATTGGAGCCAAAACTGCATGGTTGACATGGAAGTTTGCCAAGGGGATGCTGAATACAGCCAATGGTACATGTTGAGAATGATGTGAAGCCCAAGGATTGAAAAGACAAACTTATCAACCTTGCAACATAATAACAGTAAGCTGCCCAGACCAACAAATGAGCAGAAGCCTTGCAGGCTTGAAGGTTATGACAAAAATGCAAGAAGCAATCAGAAGCATGATAAATCATGCAGTCCTCTTTAAATAGCACTCCATGATAAGCTTGACATTGAACAGGTAGGCCTGCCTTCATAGGGATCATGGTGTAAGCCCTTGGGCTTGGCATGGCAGGGCATAAACACTTTGGCTTCAAGTAGATGTGAACATAAGCCCTTGGGCTTGGCTTGGCATGTTCAGTGGAAGCCCTTGGGCTTGACATGGATACAAATAGAGCATGTTATCATTGGATTCAGCTTTGAACACTTGACATGATGCATCATGGTCACCAAATTATCAAGCCCTTTATAGACCATGTTTTGAACCTTTGTGTCATGCACCTGTGGGGCCACTGCAAAGAATAGCAAGAAAATACCAAATCATTTGGTTCAAGGCTTGACCCTGGTTTGACATTGACCCTGGTAGGTAGGCATGCCTTCACATGGATCATGGTGTAAGCCTTGGGCTTGGCATGGCAAGGCATAAACACTTTGGCTTCAAGTAGATGTGAACATAAGCCCTTGGGCTTGACATGGATACAAATAGAGCATGTTATCATTGGATTTGGACACTTGGCATACACCATGGTCACAAGCAAGAAAATACTCAATCTTTTTCCATGATTCACCATGGTTTGAACTGCATATGCAAAAACTTGCACTCATGTGCTTCACTCCCTTCCTTTGGCGAAGATTGGAAACCAAGCCACACTCATTGTCATGGCTGCATCAACATGAAACCAAATAGAAACACATATTTGGCAACTCAAACCAAACTAGTTTCACTGTTTCTTGTGCTTCTTCAAAGGATGGCCCATTGGATCTTTGTCCTTGGGTGGTGCCTTCAAACTCAGCTGGCAGTGGGCTGAGACAGGGCTATTGTTGGTCAAGACTTTGATGTTGACATCCCCCAGCTTATGGCTGTGGGTGATCCACTTAAACTCTAGCAAACCTTCTTCATCTTCTTTTGAGCAAATCCAAAATGGGCACATAGTACCCTCATAAACCTGCTTAGTTTCATCCCACTTCACAGCCTTGCTAGGTGTGATGTAGTAGGTCTTCATCTGAAAGGTAACCTCCCCAAAGATCTTGACTGGTGGCTTCTTTGTCACAATGTTCTGGAGCCTCTCAGGGCATGGCACCAGCTGAATGTAATTCTTCTTCATATCCTTCTGGGCAAAACACATGGCATGAGGTGTGCTTTGGACCATGACTTCATGCTCATCCATATCCAGGAAATTGTATGCCTCCTGGAGAACAACAAAGAGGGAACACTTCTCTGTTTCTTCCATGCATGGATCAGAGTTGGAAGGCCACATCAGTTGCAACTGGGCATTTGTAAAGAGCTTGGGCATCTTGGACTTGGTGGCTTTGAGATGAGCAGCAATCTCTGTGGAAAGAAAATTCATGGTGATCTTCTTGGTGGGTTCCAGTAAGGGGACATGCTCCAAGGTCACCTTGTCAGCTTCTACAGCAACCAGGGTGAAAATTCTGTTGGCTGGCTGGTCTTTGACAGTGAAATTGTTGCCAACCTTCAGGTCCAACAACTGGGCTGCCAAGAACATAGGGTTCTTTGCCTGCTGCAAGTCAAAAGCTACCTCCTTGGAATCCTGGGTGCCTGAACCACTAGGCTTGGATGTACTGGCTGCAGCACCTGCACTTGTTGCCTGTGCTAAGTCATCACTCTGAAGCATTTCTAATTCATCCATTGTTTTTTCTTTGCCATCCTTGCTCTGTTTCTCTTTGCTGCATAGATGGAGTGCATATCTACAACAGCTCCTGCCAAACAACTTGTAGATCACAGCCTGGTCCAACTGGGTTTTGTTGACCTTGTCCCAAAACTTAGTCAAAGAAGCCTCTACCTCATTGATCTTGGTTTCATACTTCTTCTGTTTCAAGCCAGCAACATCTGTTTTGGTGATGAGCTTGGCCACTGAGTCAACCACCTTGTCAGTAGTGCAGTTGGCCACCACCAATGCAAGCTTGACCATGGGGTGCAAAGTGGTCTTGGAAAACTGGGTGTCAACAATTGTGGTCATAAATTCTTCTCCAAGAATGGGGTTGCCACCAAATTGTTTGGACATGTAAGCCAAGAAATTGATCATGGGACCTTCTTGCCCACCTGCAGGGATTGGGCAACATATAATTTGACATGTATTTGCACTAAAAAAATAATGATTTTCTGGGGTTCACAGTCCCTCTTTCTTGCTTGAATTCGAAACAACCTTGCCTCCATAGAGCTGAACAAATTTGCCAACATGCTTTGCATATCCTTGAAGTTCACCTCCATGGCAGAGATCAACAGCACTCTTGGTATACATGATCTCACCTGGCAACTTGCCTTTCTGGGACAGCACAATGCTGGACATGAGCTGCACCTCATTTTGCAGTTCATATGTTGAGTTGGAGCTGTTTCCAGCACTTTCAATGATTGAAGGAAGGCTTGGCCACTTCTCAGCAACCACATTCTTGACAATAGTCCACTGCCAGCCTTCATGGATCATTTTGGCCAACTCCTTGTCCTTCAGCAAATGGCTGCCCAAGTGACCATTGGGCCCAGCAATGCTGGACTCTGAGGTCTTGCAGCAAGCAACAATTGCCTTGCAAAATTGAGTGGTGTGGCCCTTGGCACAAGTGAGGTACCTCTCTTTGCCTGTTGGCATGGCCATCAAATTCTCTGAGTCAACAACCATTTTCTTGTTGAACTCAATTTGGGATTTCCTTGTGCCCTCATCAGTGGAAATTTCAATGGCAACACTTCCACCCAACTGCATGTCTGCACCTGCAGCAATGATGGTGGACCCCTTCCTGTGCATGCTGAAAGGGTTGATTCCAGTGCCACCTCTATTCAAGGGATGACAAAGGAACAAATCAGGGGTGCACTTCTGCTGGTAAGCCAGCCCTGAATCCAGCAAAATCTGCTGGATCTCACTCCACTGGCTCATCACACCCATGGAGGAACTCAGGACTTCATCCACTTTTCCACAAACCTCTAAGGAGATATTTGCCATGGCGACAAACCAAAAAAGTTGCATACACTTTGATCTTCAAGCTTGCAATATAATCAGCTGACAGTTGCAACAAAGCAAAGCAAACAATGCTAGCAACTGGCAACAACATAAGCCCATGGGCTTGAAGATGTCACATTTCAAATGTAAGAGTTTGCAGCCCCAGCTCCACATGGCAGCCCCTAACAATTTCAAGACTGCAACCCCAAAGCCCAAGGACTTGATCATGTGCTTGTAGACAACTATATGAAGATATGCATGGGTACACCCTACACATGTAGCATGTCTTGTATTCAGAATCTTGCAAATACATGGCATTGGCAAACCTAAAAGTGAAGCACACATGCAGTGAGGGTATAGAAACATGTTCAAAAGCCTGCTTGGCTTGAAAGCTCATCTGTAAAAACACAATGATGCCAGACTTCAAATGCACACCCACTCTGCAAGCAATTTTTTGTCACCCCAGGCATGTTCAAAAAAATATTCAGACATATCATCAGCACCTTTACACTTTGAGCCATGACCTACCATTGTTGCAGATCCACTATCTAACTTCCAGCTCCTGCAGGCCTTTCCAGCCAGTATGAATAGCTATTGCTCACAAAGCTGGCTGTCCACCTTCTACCACACCTTTGGCACCTGTAGCTCCATGGAAGCTTCCAACACCAAAGCCACCCAGGACAATCTTGAGCAGCGCATTGGATGTAGGAACCATGGGGGTGGCTCTGGGCACTGAACTCCCTGGATTCATCTTCACTATCCATGGGCTCAAATCTCAAATTGCCCCTTTGGGTTCCCATTGTTTCAAAGCTTATGGAGATTGCAAATGGCTGCATGCAATCCTAAATACCTGCAGCAGTAGGTAGGCATGTTGATACACAACAAGAGATAAGCCTCAAAAGGCTTGAGTTTTTTGGAATATGCATATGCCAAGTCTACACCAACCACAAACCAAAACATGTCACACAAGGTACAAATGGATTTGGCAGTTTGCATACCACATTGAACATCAAAATTTCCACCATGACTCATAAGCCAATCTCAGGCTTGAAACTTGAAATTCTACAAATTTCAAATTAAAGTGTTGGTGCACAAACATGAAAAAAACCAAGTGGCTTGACAAGTGCATGCAATGGCCAAGCATTTGGGAATCAATTTAAAAAACAAAAAAAAACACCATGGCTCCAAGGTCTTGTCAAAAAATGCATTGTTTTTTTACATGCTAAGTACTTAGCAAATGTTGCTAACTACAGCCTTAACATTTTATATAACTAGTGCTAACCAGTTAACTCAGGAGCCATAAGTATAGTTAACCTTTTATAAACTATGTAGGACTTAGCCTTCAGGAAGGCTAACCTTTACCAAAGTTACAACAATTATACTTATGTTATACCATACTTATACCATACTTATACCATACTTATAAACATACTTATACCCAATACTAACTTAAGCAAACCGCCGGTTCATCCCAGTGGAGCCTTGAGGCGCTCTGACAAAAAGTACTTTAGTATCGCTAGTATATATGGATGTATAATGATGTATATGACAACATCGTGCACAACATGAGAAATTTGCCAATGGCTCGGGATGTGTGAGGGTGGCTTTTGTGTAGTGTGAAGGGCTTTGGACACTTTGTCCGCCTGTCGTGTGTGGATTATTTTGGAATATATTTGAACACCGTAGGAATTCCAGCAGCATCTCCAAAAGACCGCCCCGGAGCTCATGGCGGACACCTCGATGTTTCCCTGGCGAGCCCTTCAGCTTTGCATTGACCCCATCGCCCCACGTTGCATTGAGCTGATACAAGGTCTTCACGATCGCACGCACCAAGGGCAGTGCTGGCTTCTCAACTGGTGGCGAGATCGAGACTCATGCAAGCTGTTGCTGAAGTCAAAGAAGGAGGTCAACGGCAAGGCCGAACACTACCTGACGGCAGAGCAGCAGGAGTTGTTCACGATGCGACTTGTGACAGAGGCTGGTCTTGGTAGATCCACGTTTAGGTGGTTCAAACGGTGGTTCTACGCTCTTATTTTTGTTTTTGTCTGGCCTTGCTATGCAATATTATGCAATTATTACCTAGGCTGTGATGTTGAAATATGTTGAACTGATGGGCGTGGATGTACGCAACCCTGGTGGGGGCCTGTGCCTGCGCCAGATGGAGAAACATCTTCAGCTGAAGTTCCAAGTCACCAAGCTCCAGGATGCACCAGCGAGCGTGGTTCGAAGTCAATGCACTGGACTGTGCCGACATTTCGACTCCAGCAAGAGGTTGAAGTTCAGGGACCAGGCTGTCCAATTTTAATCAATTTTCTGCAGCTCTCCATGCGAAGTTCTCTTGGTCGCAGACCGAAAGGGACCAGCTGATGAAGTCCTTTGCTGATGGTGCCGCGGATGCAGCCATGACGCATTCCAGTGCGCCCGCTTCCTGGCCGCCGGTCCGGCACATTCAAAGGTGCCGGCAGGAGGAGGCCGCCAGATTGGCGCAGGAGGCTTGCCAGAAGCAGCTGGAGGAGAAAAAGGCAGCAGCACAGCGGGCATGGGATGAAGCCCAGAAGAGCAATGACAAGGCAGACAAGACTGAGGCTGAAGCTCTTCAGATGGGTTCTTTCGCCTCGGAACAGATGATGGAAGTGTGGAGTGTGGAGGACCAATTTCAAGCGTTTCTTCATGTTTCTTCGTGTTTATTCTTTGTGTGTGCATTGCATGGCATTGCGTTCAGGATCGTTCAGGCATGTTGAGACTAGCGTAGACATGCGTAGACTAGACTGCGGAAATCCATGGAAATCCTACCTTGATACATTTTAAGATATTTCAGGATATTTTGAGATACTATTTTTTTACGATACTTTACGTATCGTGATGTATCGTATTGTATCGTGATGGCCATTGATGGCCTGATGGTCTCGATTTTTATCTTTTATCTTGCTCCTATGAGCCATGGCGAACCTCATTAGAGCGTTCCGCATCTGCAGGACCATGTGCAAGGAAAGTCACCTTGCACGAAACGAGGCTTGGTCGGAGGCCGTCCAAGCTGCTCGTGATCTCTGCCAAGAAGCCTTCTCCTGCCGAGAGGAAGCCCAGAAGAGTCGGATCGAGGACCTCTTCAGCATCGTGGAAACGGGCAAGAACTTTCGGGCTTTGCCGCGGGACATCCTCCGCAGATGTGTAGATGAAGTGCACGGTGTGCCTTGCAAGCAAGCCTTGCACACTTCTGCCGCAGTTAGAGTTTTTTATGAGACGGAAACATGGACCAAAATGGAAACATCATCCCCAAACATCATGCACTACCCTGAGCCTACGTCTATATGTTTGACCAGTATTGGACGATGTTGGGATATTTATGCACGTTTTTGCGTTCTTGTGGAATGAGCAATGTGGGATAGGACAGAGATAGTTTCCAGTAGTACCTGTCGCCTCCAGGGCAAGATCAGACCAGGTCATGTTTTTCCCAACGCGCAAGCTTGCGCGTGATTGCGCTGATACACAGACCCGACAACATGCTAGAGCACATGCACAGGTCTTGGTGTTGGACTTGAACCAGATGACGATCGGCAGTCCTGAGTTGCCCAAGATGTGCTTGAACGTGGCACAGGACTTGGTGGGGTCGCCTTGGCTGCTCATGGTGCTCGTTCCTCTGGCCGACAAGACGACCAGCATCCACGCGTGGGAGATCAAGATTTTGTCGGTGCTTCCTTCGCTCGCATGAGGCTTCCGGGCGAGTTACAACTTCGAGACATGAAACGACATTGACCGTATCTGATTCAAGAGATTCATGGAGATTCTGTCAAGAGATGTCAAGACTGTTCAATTGAAGGTTCCCGCATGTTTCCACAAACGGTCACAAACGATAAGGGGACAGGAAAGATGAAATACGTCTCATCAAATCTCACCTGCAAAACCTTTTGTGCGAAAGCTGGCGGAAGAAGGCTGAAGGAACTTTCTCCAAGTAGAAGATTTCTTTCAGTAATGAAATTCAGAAAAACCCTATCCGAATGATTTTTGTCTTTGTTCATTTTGAAAGGTGCAGCTTCGAAGAGTTTTGGTGCTCAACAAGAAGAGCTCACAGGTCCTCTCCGTCGTCTTGGCTATTTGAAAAGTAGCTGAGATTGAAAGCCTTCCAAAACTGAAAGAGGGGGGTGGAACTGAAATAATTTCAAGAAATGTTTTGGGGTACCCCCCCAGGGGGTGGGTATACCAGCACACTCTGGGAAGCTTTTGAATCCTGCAGCAGCGTTCACAGCAGCCACCAAGGACATGGCGAGGTGTTGGAGCTACAACCATGAATATGCCAACGGCATCCAATTCTCCGAGCTCTACGGCACCCCGACCTGGTGGACCACAAGTTGGCACTTTGCCGACATTGGATGAGATGGATCCAGATCCTTTGGATGGCACGATCCGGTGAATCAGCGGCAGTTGGTTGAGACTCCACCTGCGGCATCTAGTGACTCTGCAGGTGGTAGGAAGTATGTGGACTATAGATTGTATCCCGCACCAGCATGGGGCGGAGACCGACCTGAGAAACACTTCAAGGAGTACCACAGAAACCTTTTGCTTTGGTTGGTGGAAGCCGAGGCCAGACTGCTTCACAATCTAATGGAAAGGGCATCATAGATAGCATTCCGTTGTGTTCCAAGTTGAGTGCATTGCTGGCTCACCTTTCAGTCAGCGACATCTGTGCGGAAGATGGCCACAAGGTGATTCTGCAGATCATCGAGGACGCCCATGAGTATCTGAAAGATCAGCGACTGGAGCAAGCCTTTGACGAGGCAATCTTCAGAATCTTCAGAGGTCGTCGAGAGAGGTCAGACCATGACGGCTTTTCTCACGGCAAACAAAGCAGCCTTTGCCGAGCTCAAGAAGCAGGGCTTGGACCTACTTGATGGCAGAGCTGGACGGCATCTCTTGGGTCACCTGATTTTGCGTCAAGGTGCCTTCACTCTAGACCAACGACAAAGACTGAAGGTGGTGACCAATGGTTCCATCGATTACATGGAGATTGAGAAAGCCATCCAAAAGATCTTTGGTGATCGCCTGGATGATGGTGGTGGCAGCTATGACCATTAAATGAAGGATTGATGATCCACAGTAGCAGTCGGGTCCCAGATTTACGTTGGAAACGATCAGCCATTGGGGGCACGCCATATGTTCCATGTTGGTTACCTCCATGCGATTGTTCACCGAACGCCCAAAAATGTTATGGGTTATAGTTGTTTTATATATATATATATCATGTGTTATTATGGGTTATATCATGTTATATCCCACTGTTGGTTCTCTCTCCACGTCACCAGCATATGATTGCTTCAGTTACTACATTCGGCGATTGATCAGCTTCTATCAACCCATTTTCACTGGGGACGTTTCCATGGTTCTCTTCATTTATTGTTCATGATTCTTTCCCCAGTGATTATATGATAATAAAGACATACTGTATTTATCATCATGTCACTATTGATCAACTTATCCAAATGTTTGTTTTTCGTTTTGATACATTATCAAGGCTTATCAATATATTTTTCATATACACACAGGTGAACTGCTTTATCGGCCACTTAGGTATCATTATTTGTTCAGCTTACATGCTATGGTTTATATAATGTGAACTGTTTTATCAGTTATTTAAGTATCATGATTTGTTGAACTTGTATCGCTGATGATGCCCTTACCCAAAACGTGACTCCTGGTGGCTTCACCAGGCGGCAGAGGAACAAAGTCTGTGCCATTTTGCTGCTGACGGACGGACAGGAGAACGATTTGTTGCTTTTTAACCCAAAGTTAGATGCTCAATGGATTGGTTCAAGGGAAAATCTACAGGAAACCATTGATTTGTTTTCCATGAAATATAGGGTTATGCCGACGCCATCGGGTTATATCAGGTTCTATATGATTATGGGTCAAAATACTGCTACTGTAGGTACCGCAAAAAAGCTGGTTAAGGGATGGTTAATTCCCCAAATATGGTAACCCCATAGGGATTTGACCCATCCCCAGATGCCGAAAGTTGTGTTTCCAGGATGTTACATATGTTAGTTTGCTGATGTTTCCTCCATATTTCCAGGTGTCCAACTTTTTGGTACCTATGACTGGGGGGTGCTATGCTATCAGCCCTTGCGCAGCAGCTGATTTCTGTGGTGAACATGTCAAATCGATGTGGATGTGTCAACTCACAATGACAATTTCGAAATCGGATCAGAAGTGGATGGATAGATAGATACATAGATAGATAGATAGATAGATAGATTAATTAACTAATTAATTAGATAGATTAATTAGATAGATTAATTAGATAGATTAATTACATAGATTAATTAGAATAGGTAGATAGATAGATAGATTAATTAATTAGATAGATTAATTACATAGATTAATTAGAATAGATAGATAGATAGATAGATAGATTCTTAGGATGATAGATAGGTAGATAGATAGATACATAGATAGATAGATAGATAGATAGATTCTTAGGATGATAGATAGATAGATAGATAGATTCTTAGGATGATGATAGATAGATAGATGGATGGATGGATGGATGGATGGATGGGTGGATGGGTGGATGGATGGATAGATAGGTAGATAGATAGATAGATATATAGATAAGATAGATTAGATAGATTAGATAGATTAGATAGATTAGATAGATTAGATAGATTAGATAGATTAGATAGATTAGATAGATTAGATAGATCAGATAGATCAGATAGATTAGATAGATTAGATAGATAGATTAGATCGATTAGATAGATTGAATAGATTAGATAGATAGATTAGATCGATTAGATCGATTAGATAGATTAGATAGATTAGATAGATTAGATAGATTAGATAGATTGGATAGATTGGATAGATTGGATAGATTGGGTAGGTGGGATAGATCGGATAGATTGGATAGATTGGATAGATTGGTTAGATTGGATAGATTGGATAGATTGGATAGATTGGATGGATTGGATGGATTGGATAGATTGGATAGACTGGGTAGATTGGATAGATTGGATAGATTAGATAGATTAGATCAGATAGATTAGATAGATAGATTAGAAAGATTAGAAAGATTAGATAGATTAGATAGAGAGATGGATAGATGGATGGATAGATAGATAGATAGACAGATAGAAAGATAGATAAGATAAGATAAGATTTGATCAGATTTGATAAGAATAGATCAGATTAGATAAGAATAGATAAGATTTGATAAGATTTGATAAGATTCGATGAGATTTGATAAGATTTGATAAGATTTGGTAAGATTAGATTAGATTAGTTAGATTAGATGGATTAGATAGATAGATAGATAGATAGATAGATTAGATTAGATTAGATTAGATTAGATAGATAGATAGGTTGATAGGTAGATAGGTAGATAGATAGACACATAGACAGATAGACAGATAGATAGATTAGATAGGTTGGGTAGATTGGATAGACTGGATAGATTAGATAGATTAGATGGATTAGATAGACTAGATAGATTAGATAGATCAGATAGATCAGATAGATTAGATAGATTAGATAGATAGATTAGATCGATTAGATCGATTAGATAGATTAGATAGATAGATTAGATCGATTAGATCGATTAGATAGATTAGATAGATTAGATAGAATTGATAGATAGATAGATAGATAGATAGATTAGATCGATCGATCGATCGATCGCTAGATCGCTAGATCGATAGATCGATAGATCGATAGATCGATAGATCGATGGCTAGATAGCTAGATAGATAGATAGATAATGTGAATCACAATTTTGGTCTAGGGATTTCAAGATCTTCCAACCACCGCCAGGACCACAGCTGTCGCGCGCATTTGCCGCAGTTGTTGCAACGTGCCTCCAAGATGGGCTGTGGCATCTACCCCTTTGGCTTCGGTTTCTCGGTGGACATTTCCCGGGGAAGGAGGATGAAGGACGTGAAAACCTGGGTGAATTGAAAATGTAGATCTCTGTTTCTATGGTTTAGATGTTTGAAGGTGGATCTTTTACATGCCATCGTGTTGATTTTTCCATGCACTCCTCATCAAAAATCATCAAAATACATTATACTGCGTCCCTCTATTAATATCATTCAGTATCTCAATATCCATATTCTCATTCTGATTCTTCTGTATATCTCCATCTGGTTGGTGGTTTGGAACATTTTTTCCATTTTTCCATATATTGGGAATAATAATCCCAACTGACTTTCATATTTTTCAGAGGGGTTGAAACCACCAACCAGCCATATATCACCATATCTACACATCACGGACATGTGGCCTGTCCACAGGGAAAGATCACGACTCGGTGCTGCTGCGGGAGCTGTCCGAGAGGGCGAAAACACCCTTCACCTACATCGAGGAGCAGTGCGAAAAACACTGAGCTGTGGTCCAATTGGATATATGGAGGTTTCCTGAACTATGGCTACCCCAAGTCATATGTTTTCCCATTGATTATGAACAAATTTGGATTTGGTGGTACCCCCATTTTAGGAAACCTCCACATATATATATATATATAGTTATTGTTTTTTTATAAGGATAGTAAGGGAATTATCATTGGGATACAACGGAAATTGACCCTCTGGCATTTTAATGGGAAGAATCATCTATAAATGGTGTTTTTTCCATTGCGACGTTTGATTGCGGGAGGGTAACTGTCAAAATTTAGCTGGACTTAGCACAATGATTGATGATGATGCTTAGTGGATGAGTATTACAATTCATAGTAATGGGGGATTCAACCATAAGCACTGACGGGTATATCATGGTACAATGGAGAATGAACCATGAAAGATGGAGAAACAATGGGTGATATTCTGGGTGCTTATACAAATGTGGATTATATTATATTCTAACTATTTTATAAACGTCTGGGAAAATGACTGATAAATGATGGTTGGTTGATGACCATTATAATTTTATGGGGATATCCGGGATATCACTATGATATCACTGGTATAATGTTGATTCAATGGTGATTTTACCATCATTGGGGGACTATCATCATCTACCCGCTGGGAATCCCCATCAGCTAACCAGCAGGTGATCTAGTGATCTAATTGGGATACAGCAAAAATGTAACATAGGATATAATAGGGATATAGAGATGGAATAGGGACATAACAGGGATATTTCAGTACATGGCGAGCATTTGGTGAGTGAACATCACGAACTGGTGTACAAATCAATCAGGTGAAAACCGTGGTGATTTTCGCATATTTTCTGTGCACAGATTTATGATGGTTTTACCTCCAGCTCATTGCTGTTTTAGTACGTTAAAGAGATTTTCAAAACCTTTGGATTTACTGGGTAAACCCTGGCTGGTTGTTGAACATATGGACAACATACCATAAAATCTGGGACATAGTGCTGGATGCAATTTGAATCAAGCTCACTAAATCTTGGCTGTCTGATGATTGGCAATTTACTGTCCGGTAATCAAAGGTGGCAATTGGACATCCACTAAAAAGGGAAGTTTATGGCTGGGAAAATCAACGATAAAAGGAGGATTTTCCAGTGCCACGTTTGATTACCCTTGGGGCTCAGCGGTTCCAGTGGCAATCGCTACCAGAGAAACTTGGTGAAGGATGGGTTGGTGAGCCATTCACAGTGACCATGGTTGAGTGGTTGATTGATGTTGATTGGTTATGAAACCATGGGGGTTCTTAAATGTTCTTGACCTACCTGATTTGTTAGGGATGATGACCAACTACGGGCCTATGGGCATCCATATTCAGAAAGCAGTAGAAAATAATAAAAATGGAGTGTGTTGAATGGTGTTCATTTTGAGTTTCCAGAAATTTGAGGGACCACTAGTTGTGGCAGCCCCATTCCCAGAGCCACTGCCCATGTCGCATGAGTAATCGGCAACGGGTCTGGATGAGGTGTGGACAAATACCTTTCAGGTTTGTGAGTTCGAAGCATGAATTGTGTTGAGTGCACTCTGTGAGTTATCATGTATGAACCTTTCATCTTGGATACTCCTAGATCATTCATCTATATAAATCCGCTTTTACGTATGTTATCATAATTCGTCATAAATCAGCATATATATATATAACATAATATACATGTATTAGATTGTAGTTTGTATAGAGAGCGGGGGACTGTGAGAGTGCGTTTTTTGCACTGATGTTGCATCAAGATCTCATATATCTGCCAGCGATGTTGCTCCAAGATCCCATCTATATGATATATATATATATATGCATACCTAAAAATTTCATCCAGCTGGGTCACAAGAATCAAAACATATTGCACATGCACAGCAAGAAACTAAATAGCGCTATCAACGATTCTATGTCATTTAGCCAGTGAATATCAGAGAGAAAATTCAATTTTGCCCTGTTGCGCCATGCTCAAATGATAGGGTTGTGTTTGCTTCTATGTTGCAGGTTTTTATAGCAAGCATGAACAAGAGGAAACAGCACTTTTGATTGACAGAAGATTTCATTTTGTCCCCAAGCAGTACTGCATCTTCCTGACAGAGCTTCCTACATAAAGAGATATGGAATGTTTTGCAAGGGTCAGCATATTGTTGCTTTGAAAAATGTTGTGTTATTGAACCCTAGTACAGCATCAACTCAGATTCTAAGGGCAACAGCATGCTTCTCATAAGTCATCGTTGAAATTTTGAAAGAATGTGGCATTTCTTGAGGAAGTTATGGCATGCCTCTATGCAACAGAGGGGGCAACATTTCTTTGAGAAAGTGTAAAGAAAGACCCTGAGATGTGCTTCGCGTTCCTTTTGAACATGTGCAATTCCTTCCATAGAGGTAGTAGTCCTTTTAGAGAAGGGTATCATTTCCTTAAGATAAAATGTGCATATACATTAGTGTTTTTCAGAAAAGCGGCATTCCTTTCAGATGGTACTTGATGGCTTCATGAAATATTGATTTAAACAACGGTGTTATGCCATATTACTTCGAAAACAATACTATTCATTTGGAACATACAATATAATTGTCAAATAACATAATTCACTGTATGATATTATTAACTATATATATATATACAGTTACACACAATATTCCTTTCAAAAGTATGTAGCATCCCTTTGGGAAAGTAGCCTTCAAGACACACAGCAGTCCTAGTGAAAGAGTATGGCTGAGTATGGTGTGATTTAAGTTGTTGTACAAAAGGGAACCCTTTCATATATACAACAATCCTTTTGAAAGAGGGTGATGTGTCTGTAAGAAAGCGCAACGCATGGAATTTCCATTTGAAGAAGTATAGTGTTCCTTGCAGAAAATATAGCATTATTTTGAAAGGATATTCTTCAATAAGCAGTTGCTCTTTCAGAGACCACAGTGCAGCATGCCTTTATGCAAGTTTCCTTGAAAAGGATGCAATATATTTGTTCATTCCTTTGAAAAAAAAGACTGTGGTATTCCTTGCTCAGAAGAAAACTACACAAACAGAGCCACCACCTCCAGAAAATTGGAAATTAGGCCTTACTGTTCAGGAAATTAAAAAAATTGATTTCCACCCCAGCCAACCCAAAAAAACGAAATAATTTTGATTTTTTAGTTCAGAGAGGTCCCTCTTAAGAATTTAATTTTGTTGTTGACGAAGGGTTCCTTCATGTCGACATGTGGAAACAGACACAACGAAGGATGCAGATCGGATTTGCAAAATTTGACTAAGAGCCTAAAGAACTTCTAGTAGGTCAAAGGTCAGCAAAACCAAAAAAACAAAAACAAACAAAAAGCAAAAAGAAAATAAAAATAAAAAAACAAGAAAACCAAGAAGACCTACTGGGCCAGAGTGCCTCAGACATAGGTTTTTTTTTGTTTTTTTGTTGTTTTTGTTGTTTTTTTTGTGTTTTTTGCTTTTGCTGACCTTTGACCTACTAGAAGTTCTCTAGGCTCTTAGTCAAATTTTGCAAATCCGATCTGCATCCTTGCCCGTCTTGTCATTTGTTTTTTCTTCTTGCCAGTCAATGCATATGTCAAAACAGAGAATATGTAAAGAGGAGTGCAAAAAGCGCACTGTCACAGTCCCCTGTTCTGTTTGTATAAACATATAGAAGTTTCCATAACTGGGTTGTACCCAAAATGGATGATGTATAATCGAAGACCCTATTTAAATGGATGATTTGGGTGTACCCCCATTTTAGGAAACCTCAATATAATATATACATATATACAGTATATATATTTACATACTAATACTGTATATATCTATATTTGTGTATTTTTGTATATATATATACATATATATATATATTTAAATTTATATCCATGCGTGTACACCCAACAACCGCATTTCAACAGGAAACGTCGGCCATCAAAGAGGCCTTCGCCGGTGTGGTGGGCGGCCTCAGCAGCATTGTGGCGCAGCAGGTGCAGGTGACCCTCAGGTGCCATGCACGTTTGAAGGACGCATCGGGGCATCGGCATCGGGCAGATCTGGGGCATTAACTTCCACCTCCACTTCCGCCTTGCCAACTCTTCGCCAAGCTCTTTGCCAACTTCCCAGCTCAGTGTGCACTGGGACCTCAACCTGCGAGCTGCCCAGCTCAGTGTGCACCGCTGGACCTCAACCTGCGAGCTGCCCAGCTCTCTGTGCACCGCTGGACCTCAACCGGGGACCTGCCCAGCTCAGTGTGCACCGCTGGGCCTCAACCGGGGACCTTCTGAGCTGAGTGTGCACCGCTGGACCTCAACCTGCGACCTGCCCAGCTCAGTGTGCACCGCTGGACCTCAACCTGGGACCTGCCCAGCTAAGTGTGCACCGCTGGACTTCAACGGGCAGATAGAATGCCAGAAGATATGCCAGATAGAATGCCAGAAGATATGCCAGATAAAATGCCATGAGATATGCCAGATAGAATGCCAGAAGATATGCCAGATAGAATGCCACAAGATATGCCAGATAGAATCCCAGAAGATTTTCCAGATAATATGCCAGAAGATATGCCAGATAGAATGCCAGAAGATTTGCCAGATAATATGCCATGAGATATGCCAGATAGAATGCCAGAAGATATGCCAGATAGAATGCCAGAAGATATGCCAGAGATTAGATACGCCAGATAGCCAGATAGAATCAGAATATGCAGATAGCCAGAAGATAGATGCCAGATATGCCAGATGCCAGAATGCCAGATAGAATGCCAGAAGATAATGCCAGGTAAAATATCAGAAGATATGCCAGATAGAATGCCAGAAGATATGCCAGAACATATGCCAGAAGATATGCCAGATAGAAGATATGCCAGATAGAATGCCAGAAGATATGCCAGATAGAATGCCAGAAGATTTGCCAGATAGAATGCCAGATAGAATGCCAGAAGATATGCAGATAGAATGCCACAAGATATGCCAGATAGAATGCCAGAAGATTTGCCAGATAATATGCCAGAAGATATGCCAGATAGAATGCCAGAAGATATGCCAGAACATATGCCAGAAGATATGCCAGATAGAATGCCAGAAGATATGCCAGAACACGTGCCAGAAGATATGCCAGATAGAATGCCAGATAGAATGCCAGAAGTTTTGCCAGATAGCATGCGAGAAGATATGTCAGATAGAATGCCAGAAGATTTGCCAGTAAGAAAATGTATAAATGTCATGGTGGGGATCACACGAAGTAGAGTATTTTTTTATGTGACAGGGATGTTTTTAAATGGCACAGAGATGGATCAGCAGTTTTTGCTTGGCGAAATCCTACATGTTTGTGGGGCAAATCCTAATCCCAGTTCAGGTTCCTCAGATTCCTGATTTGATTGCTTGACTTCCCAATTTTGGTTTGAGTCGAAACTGCATGCCCAGTCTACTTGTTTTTTTGGATTCCATCCCGCAATATGTTTTGCCCTACATAGTACAATGACCCTTCTTCACATCAGGGGCGGGGTAGGGTCAACATTTCGCATTGGCTTGGTCAGTTTGGTCGCCTTGGGTCTCAAAATCATTGATGCTGGAAACCAGTCCCCGTGCCAATTTTCCCCATGCCAAAGATGCTTGCCTTGAGGCCACTACAAAGTGCTGTGGGAACCTGTTTTTATAAGGACTAGGTGCATCTGCATCTAGGTACCATTTTTATAGGACCAACATAACCTCTTACCGAGGCCCGGCAGATTGTACCCCACAAACCTGGGAACCAAGCCATTGGTTTTAATACCCAGGGGGAAAGCATATTTTCAACCATCAACAAATTGTGGTTTGTTGATGGGTAAACTCAAATTTTGGTTTATTTATGCGTAAAAACCCTCGTTTTTTTGGAGGCCAAAAGGGTGTATTGCACGGTGCATCCGCCATCCCAATGGTCCCCTCATCGAAGGAGGTGAACACACCGTTTGAAGTCTTGCGTCACAGCGACCAGACTGCCACTGTGACCATCCCAGACATTTTCGCAGAGGCCCCAGCGATCCCCGTGATGTGTTGGGTGCATGGTTTCCAGTTTTTGATAGTGTTTGTATGTTTTTGTTGCTTCTTGCGAAGCTTGTTGAAGGACTCTCTTTGGGGGGACAAAAAACTACAAGTTGGTCAACTCTTAAAGGGACAATTTCGCCTGTCTTGATTTGATGGTCTGTAGTTAAAATGACTACAGGGTATTTGGTATGATTTACAGAGTCAGCCAGCCGTACTGAGAAGGTACCTGGATCATCTTGGATCATTTCATTCAACGCATTATGTTTTTGCCTATAGGAATCACCACTGCAGGCTGAGGCAATCAAATGTAGATTTGAGATGATTTCTAGTGACCTCAAAGGACTGCAGTATATTGTATAAGAATGTATTTTATATATTATGGGGGTTTCCTAAAATAGAGGTACCCGCAAATCTTCCATTTATAGATGGACTTTCCCTTATAAACCATCCATTTTGGGGTAGTATTTGTGTGAGCCATCCGCAACAACCTTCGACAAGGTCAGGGATACGTTCTGACATGTTCAGATACATGAATGCATGGTATGATCCACGCATGATAGAGCTGCCTACATAAATCCGCAACAATGACCTAATAAGATGTTCTGGTTTGGGGTTGAGTTCAGCATCGTGGGAGCATGGTGAAATCAGCACAAAATTTGTGATCGTCCCTGGAGTGACAAAGTCCCAGGAGTTTGTCGGAAAGTGGCAGTGTGCTTCATCAGCGGATGTGGGATATTCCATTTTTTGGGATTTTCTGAGGAAAATGGTTCATTTACCGTTTTTGAAATCCACCATGTGGACAGAAACTATGTTGGGAATATGTTTGATTTTCTTTGGGCCCTCAAGCAAATCCAAATGTTGGACAACCAAGAAAGGCCAATGGTTTATAATTTTTATAATCAGTTTCCATCAGTTTCCCCATTCATGGGCAATAACGTTCGTTGTTTCCCTATCATATACATACCCATAATGGTTTGTTAATGCCACTGATGTTTTTGATGTTCAAAAACCGTGCAGTTGCTGATAGTTCACTGCCAGCTCAGTTTCGTCAACTGCTAAGCATATCATCCATTCTCTCTCATTCTATCCTGGTTGGTCTTGAATATCTTTGTTCCACATAAATCTGAAAGGAGCGACGGGACATTCTGGTGGAATTGGAAGTCCCTGCCGACTCCGTTGCGGAGGAGACAGTGGCTCGGTGAAAACCATCGGGGTCGACCATGAAACATCGGAGTTTCATGGATTTTACCATCTGTTAACATAGCCATAGCTGTGGAAATTCACCATTTTGGCAAATCGTCCATAAATGGTGATTTTGCCATAGTTATGGTCGTTTAAGCTGGAAGGTATATCATGGTATATCATCAAACCAAAGGAATCATGGGGACACCATTTGATTGGATTTTATAACCATCAAAGATGGTATTTTAACCATCAAAAACAATGGTGTTATGGAGACAATGTGATTGATTGATGGTTGAGTAGTTTATATAGGGGCCTGTGCTACTGTACCTGGTTTAGTGTGGACTATGTATTATAAAAAGTATTATGTACTAACCAACCTGTATTTAAATGAGATGGGATACGGGTATTTTGAATGGCTCAAGTGTGTGCAAAAAGTTTGGGAACTTGATGCTTTTAACGAGCAAGAAATGAGGGTCTTGCCTCGACCAATTTAGATGAGGGTAGTAAGAGAACAAAGGAACAAGTACAAAGCAAGAACAGAAGACGAACAACACCTTCCAGTCAGACACGCCGGCAGGCCGGCAGGTTCCCTGGCGTAGTTGAATTGATGGGGGAATTGGGGGCCCATGTGGGGGTTTCCTAAAATGGTGGTACCCCAAATCATCCAAAATTAGACTATTTTGATATTGAAACCCATGGTTCTAGGGTAACCACATTTCAGGAAACCACCATATGGCGGATGTTATCTTTTTCGATGGCAGGGGTTACTCATACATTGGACTCCTCGTGGCTCAGATCTGATTGTGCCATGCCCACTGGGCCACTGATCCGCTGGCCAATCCTCACCTATACCACTTGGGCCATGAAAAGTGTGTTGGAAAATGGGATGTGGACACGGCTTGGCACGGTGAATGTTTGCAAAAGGTCCCGTTGTGGTGCTGACTTGTTTTCACCCCGGTGCTCATTCACTTTGTGCCGGATCGGTCGGTAGTCACCTTCTTGGATTTCACCTTTCGCAACATCCAGACACAGGAACTGATCACAGGATTGTTGATGCTTAAAGTTGCCTAAAATCTCAATGTTTGATGCTTAGAATTCCCTAAAATCCATATGTTTGATGCGTAAATTTCTACTCAACTCCCTAGTTTTGATGGTCATAAGGGGCCTTCCTGGCTGCATCCTAAAGGTCTTACTGGAAGCTTCGGCACAATATGTGGCCGTTCGGGAAGCTGCTGAGGCGCCAGGGTGAAACGATGGGGAGCTGAATGACAAGTGGCTACAAATTCGTGGGATTTCATGGGGATTTTCATTGAGATAATTGAGCTTTTCATTGGGATAATGATCGTGATTTCATTGGGATGTCTTGGGATTTCATTGGGATAGTAATTGGGATTTATTGAGATATAATGGCAATCTATGCTCCGCTCGTGGCCAGCTGGGAAATCCCCGAGCTAAATAGGCATTTCAACGGGCAAATGATGTAGGGATATGGTGAATTTTCCAGCAAACCATCCAGAGGGAAACCAAGGATTTCTCAAACGCTTTCACTCAGTGTTTGCTCTTCAGGGTAGCGGCCGGGTAAATGAGATTGATTTAGTTTACTGTATACTATTAAATAATGTTTGTTATGGTTATATCCCATATAGTCAACCATAATGGATGATGTAATGGGGATGTATATGAGAAGCGACATGGTAAGCGGGTTTTGCTCAGGATTCATCGTTAGGTTTTGAACGATGTGACTCCAAGAACGAGGTAGAGATTCTTGACACACTATCTGAAACGGTGATAGTGTGGTAGCGTTGGAAACGAGGTCAGAATCAGAAGCATTTTTCCCGGATCACTACAAAGTGTGTAAAAGATGTATCTATTTGGGATGCCTCTAATCTTCCGGCCTTCTCACATGTATCAAATGAAAGTCGTCGCTCACATGGGGAAGTCTTGGGATTGTACATGATTTCACAGCATATACTTTAAGATACTTTAAGATTTTGGAGTGTTGTCCAAGATTCTGAAGCTGCTTGGAAGCTGACGGGGCCGACGTCCATGACAGCATACAAGCTGGAGCAGCAGTTTGACCGCAGAAGAGAGCACTACTGGCGGCTGGAGCGTTTGTTCGTGGGGGAAGTGGTTCTATCCAAAGTGGATGCCAGATGCGAAGCTCAGGAAGCGAAGCATGACCCGTTGCTAATCCAGGATAGTGATTGCCAAAAAGTTGGAGATCTCTTCCTTGAATCCTTGAAGTATCCAGGCGATAACGCCATATTTGGGTGATGTTGACAGTTCTGACAATCACAGGTGCCCACAATTTGGTTTGAGACACAGCAGTCAACAAACATCATCAAACATGCATATTAGAAATATTTAAAGATCCTGACACACAATATTTTTGGATATGCTTTGGTTTATTTTGGTGATGCTCAACATGGTAGCAGGGGTGACGTCGTCTATATATATTGTGTCCATCTTCCAGTGTTCAACCATGGAAGTTCCACCCATTTCCACTGACAATCACTGGGGGTTTCCTAGAATGGGGGTACCCCCAGTCATCATCCATGTTAGTATCATTTTCCATAACAAAAACCATCCATATTTTGGGGATCCATATTTTGGGGATCTCCGGATCCCCAAAATATGTTATACACATGGTGCACTGGACAGTGGGTTGGCCCAACGTGCTTGTTATAGCATGTTGTAGCACAGTCTTTGGCAGTGCAAGTAGACACCTTTCCACCTGACGTTGTGGCATTTGACAGTTTGGGGCCAAGATCAAAAGCAGAAAACTCATTAGATCAATTAGATCTGAGTTTTTTCTTCATGGTCCCATGAACTTGGTAAGTGCAACTCCAAGATGTTTGTTGCATACTCCAGGAGCGTCTTTTCTTCATGGGCTTCCGGTGTACCGGGATCCCATCAGAGGATAAGTTTCGATTTCGGCTTCCATCCTCATGGTATATGTGTCTACCGTCCTATTTGGATGGTCACTTCACATATCCCCGGTTGGTTCAAAGATGTTTAAAGCCATAGCCATGTAACCTGTCCCATAGCCATTCTTGTCTCAACGAGGTACGTGTGCAAACGCCAGTGGTTGCCATGAGTGTACAACGCGTTGACGAACCACAGATGCTTGGTGCAGAAAAATTGTTTCGTACATGTTGGATTGGTGTTGTTCGTCCAATAGCTGATTTTACCATGGCCATTTTATCAAATTTTGTAGTAATTACCCAATTTCAGACAAACCCAAATTTGTGGAGAAGCCGTTCTTTTTTTCTATCTTGTTCTGCTGAGAAGTGCAATTATCATATTCCCCATGAAAGTGGCCATAGATTAGCAAAAGCGGGGTCTTATCAACAGGTTATGCCACAGAGATACAGAACTCAAAGAGCAAAAATCATGTTCCCTTTCTTCACGGGGATATACATATTGATTTATTTTTCAATCTTCGGGGGGTTAGAATATACATATTCCTTGCAGGGTATCTCAGATTCAGATTCCTCAGCTTTTCTCAGCAATTTTGAAGGCCTGAGCAAGAGCCAGATGAGGAGGTCTTCGAGCAGCGGCAACGATGGGAGGCATGGGACCTTTTCGAACACGATCCATGGGTGTGTCCTTGGGGGTGCAGTTCCAGTTCAGTTACCCTCTAGATCCCTCTATCAAAGATGGGTGGCTGGAAAATCACCCATTTACAAATGTGTTTCCATCAAAACTGCCATTTATAGAGGATTTCTCTTAATTCATCCTTGTAGAAGAATAATTCTATTTGCGGTGGTGGTGGAATTCAACTTCTGTTGGTAAAATTCAATTACTGTATTTGCTGATCAATTCTGGCGAACTTATGTTTGTGTTGACGATACCCTCTGGTAATTTAACGTAGCCGTTGAAAATCACCATGTTTAATAGGTAGATCATGCAACTAAATGATATGGGTCATTTCCAATACTAGGAGCGGGGTTAAATTATCAAGTTGAATTCCCATCCTAATTATGTTTCCAACGAATATATATATATATATATATATTTATTTATACATATCCAATTTATACATACATATATATATATACAGGTATATGTGTGTGTGTATTATATATATACAGTCATATGTTGTCTGGTTATATCCCATTGAATCCCTGAAAAAACGTTCCAGCCACTGGTTCGCTATGTCCCCAGAAGTTGTTGTTTGTTGCTTTGGTGGGCCTTGGGGCCGAGGATCCCACTTGCGAGGCAAAAATAACCGAAGTATCCAGCGAGTTACGGCTAGTCCCCTAGGTTATAAAATGCTAATAACTGGGTTATAAGATGTTAATCGTCCCAATTTACTACTTCCATTTGCATCTCCAGTTCATGAGGTGACCTCTGTTATGGAGGAAGCATCTCGGCGGTCGGATCAAGGTGACTTTGAGGCTGCGACTTTTGGTGGGAAGTGGCGCGACACGTCGATGGGAAATCCACCAGATGTCACCCTGAAAAATCTCGGGAAGCCATGGTTTGGGTTGATGTTTTGTTTGAATGGTTGAGAAACTGACCATGACAGTGCAAAACCGGAAACCCTGGATGCGCCTGGATGGGTAGTTTACAGTAGTTTAATACATCAATCTATTGCTACAAATGTGTTGAATGGACATGTTTCATTGCCTAAGAATTGCCTAAGATATCCCATGGAAGGTCACAGAATGTTACTTACTGTGCTTGATAGATGGTTTTTGTTGTTTCTACTCATGTTCAATATCTCTCATGGTTATATTTACTTATCAATATTATTGGTCATAGGTGTTTAGGTACACATATGTACACATAGATAATTAAAGATAATGATCGTTACCCATTTATACTTCTCCAATAATCACAGACAATTATAGATGATTAGCTTTAATTATCCATATTTGTGCCATGGTCAAAGAAGTAGTTTGTGAGCGCGGATTGTCTGAAGCGCGTCAAGAGTTGGATTATATACTCATATTGGAGGATGGTCATCAGTCATCAAGGGGGATTAATATGCCATAATATACCCATTGTAAGGATTCCCATTGTGAGATGGATGACCATAAACAGTATACATCTTTTGACCATGGCGCGGATCAAGTTGATTATCCCCAGGACTATCCCCATTATCCCAATTAATCACCAGATATCCCAGTATATCCCATGAAATCACCAAATTATTTTTCGACTCCTACCTTTTCCCGAAAGATATCTCCAAAGAGTGTTGGTGATATAGGTTATATCCCTGGAAAACCTCAATTGAATCCCCTTGAAGTCACCATTAAATCATGAAATCCCCATGAAAGGAGGCGCGTCAGCTCCTCAACAGCAAGCGTCAAACCTTGAGAGAGTCCCGACCCAGCAGGACCACACAGGCCGGGATCGAGGGATGAAGGGCTCTCCATGGTTTTCATGGAAACAACACAGGATTTGACCACGAAAAGTCGGGAAAAAACCATAGAAAAAGCCATGCCGGGCTATTCGACCATGTAAAAAGTGGAAGAAACTGGGGATTTGATACTTTTAATGGGAAAGAATGGAAAAACTTTGGGATTTGACTCATTTAAACTGGGGTAAACATGCAAAGATATATGGAGGATCAATGGGAAACTCTTGGAGAATGATCTATCAATATGTGTTTTTCTATATCTATGTCAATTTACTCGCGGACGTAACCAATTTTGAGGGGAAGAGTGTGGGAATACTCTCTCTTTCGAGGGTCATGTTTCCAACATAAAAGGATGGGATATGCACCATTGAAGCCATGCTCAAAAACATTTAGCAAGAGTTTTCTGTTCAGAACTGGCAGGCCCTACAGTTGGAGCTTGAAGATGCAGAATCAAGGATGAGGCATGGTGGTTGGGGGATTCCTAATGGTTGATGCCAGGATGAACTGTCCCCCCGCGATCTCTAGACTCCAATCAGAAAATGTTAAGTAGGGAGCTGGACTCATCATATCATCATACTCTCTGAGCCGGATCTGTGAAGACCAAGTCATTTTAGTTTCGATGGTCCATGGAAATCCATGGTGGTTTCAAATGGTTTCCTCTGCAAAATGTGGTCCACATGTGTTAATGATTGCTAATTTCAGAATTAATCCCTTGGCTCCTGTCCCAGAATCAAGTTTGAGTATACCATGAGGTAACACTGCTTTGAGTTTGTTAGAACCACTCAATACACAAATGGAAAAGAATGGACATAGTCGGTGTTGAAAATCGTTTTTCCTGCTCTCCAGTAATCTAACTTGGGGCAGCCAGGTTTTGAGGCTTAACGTACACCTGCAGCTCTGTTGTTTAAACAACCCTTTAAACAAACTCAAACTGTTAAAAATTAAACGCTATAATAAGTGACACAATCAATTGTTGTGTTCAAATCTTGAGTATTCTAATTTGATGATGATTTTCCAATATTTTCCACTTTTAAATGTAACTTCTACCGGACTCTGCCGGATTTCCCCTGAAGAAAAAAACACGCCGCAGGAACTTTGGCACTTGGACCCTGGGATCTCATGAAGTTCGTGACGCCACCACCATGCATCTGGTGCGCGTTCTCCAGAGGGAGCTTTGATGGGTCTAGTAAATATGATATTATATATATATACATATTATATCATATTATTATATATGTCATTTTGCTATAAAACAATACTTATACTGCTACTGCTACTTACACTGCTGCTGCTACTGCTACTACTAGTGCTACTGCTACTGTTTCTCCTCCCACTCCTACTACTGCTACTGCTAGTTCTGCTACTGCTACTGTTTCTCCTCCCACTCCTACTACTGCTACTGCTAGTTCTGCCATGTTTTGCTGAATTTTGCTCATCAGATTACTGTGGATCCTTTTTTGGGTTTGTTTGTTGCCGTCGAATTATAGGAGTGACATCCACCAACCATTATAGGAGTGCTTATGGGGGTTATGACATGTTATGACCATGGTTGTAGCATGTTGTACGCATCAACCCCAGTCCTGCGCCGAACCACCAGATGCAGCGCACCACCAACACCATTGCGAGTTGTTCCCTTGGTGGGGAGGCAGGGAACTGCAGTCAGAAGTGGACCTGGGGAAGAGAAATCCACAAAAGAAGCACTGCAGCAAGAAGTGGATTTGAGATCATTTGGGCACAAAATGATGCTTTAAGCGGCAACATCTGGATTTTCATATTTGATTTACGAATAATTATAAGGAACAAACAGGTTATGAGCAGCAACACAAAGCTAAGTAGGCGAAGGGATATGGACCAAGTCGAGGAAGTACAATCAAGACCCATGGGAGTCAACATAATATTATATATACGTATATATATATATATACACATAATATATATATATTATACATATGTATATATAACTATATAATTGTTTATATAATGATATAATTATGTATATATTATACATTATATACATATGTATACAAATGATTTGATCAATGAGATGACTCTGGGCTTGAGTCAACCAAGATCACTTCAGAGACGTAGCCTGCTCCAAGTTCCAAGCCCCATGTTTAGCTTAAGGGCCGCTGCTTTCGGTTGGTTTTTGCACCCAAAAAAGCATCAGTAGAAAGTCACAATTCCCTGTGACAATAGAAATAGGAGTGAGACATAAAAAGATTGAACGCCCACTGATGGTGAAAACAGTCTTCACTTTTCTAGGCATCTACTCGTTTGGAATCCCTGGGATGAAATGAATGTCACCATGCTTGGTTTCAATGTTTTACTCCTTTACCATACTTCTGTTGATTCACTGGTCACTAAATCCTGACCTTGCCATCCCTCTGCACCATGTTTCAGCTCCTGGAGATACTAGTAACCACTTTGACCCATCCACAGATGTGTATATACACAACATACATATATATATATATACATCTCAGTTGTCCCCATTACAAAATTGCTATTGGCTCATTACTCATCATAGCAATGCTTGAATCGACCTTGGAATGGCGGGATTTGGATTTGGATGGATTTTTCTCAAATCTCCAGGCGAAAACCTCCAAGTCGCTCTACGTGTCCAGCATCCAATCCGCCAGCATCCGTCGTTCCACCGTGGCCGGTCACGAGGGACCCGCTAGTGCCAGTGGCCTGGCTGCCATGGTGGCGAGAGATTCATGGCGGGGTGCCACTGAAGGATTTGAAGGCGGGAGATCGGCGTGGTGATCTATGGCAGCTAAGTTGGTTTATAGGTGTTTATAGATACAATTAACTAGTTTTTGTTGAAAAAAAATGTGGTTGATATATATATATATATACATGGAGTCAGACAGCGAGATGGGGTTCGTCCAAACCACTTTATTTGTAGGGTCAGCATTGGCTGCCTAAGATCCCAAACTCCTCAGTGCTATAGGCCATGTATACATGTTTGGTTGGTGGTTTGGAACCTTTTTTTTTTGTTCCATATATTGGGAATAATAATCCAAACTGACTTTCATATTTTTCAGAGGGGTTGAAAGCACCAACCAGATGTGTATATATATATATAAGTAAATAAATAACTATATATACAGTATATACATATACATTGAGTTGATTGCTTGTTTGGTTGATTGATTGTTTGTTTGGTTGACTGATTGCTCGTTTGGTTGATTGATTGTTTGAATTATTGATTGGTTTAATTGTTTGTTTGGTTGATTGATTGATTGATTTCATGCTTTGTTTGTTTGATTGATTTCATTGCTTGTTCGGTTGATTGATTAATTTATTTAATTGATTTGAATGGTTCTTTGGTTGATTCATTGATTGTGTTAATTATATAGTTGTTGTGATTGCTTGTTTGGTTGATTGATTGAACGCTTGGTTTGTTGTTGCTGCTGTTGCTGCTGTTGCTGCTGTTTCGTTCATGCTGTAGTCAGAACTAACCTGGACGTTTGAGCTCAAAAAGTGATGATCTTTGATGCCTTCAAATGTGAGGTTCTTGATTTTGTAGCACGTATGAATCTGCCTTGTCCGAATTTTCTACTGTGGAAGGTTCTTGATTTTGTAGAATGAAAGATCCTACTCTGGAGGTAATGATTTTTTAGGTACCTGACCTTGGGGGTCTCTATAGAATCGAGGGGTCCAGCACCCCCCCCTATTTGCAAGGGGGAAATTTAAAGCAGAACATTTAATTATGAATCAGTTGGAAGTTTGAACAACCTTTTTTCATTCTTGGAAACTGAAAGTCAGAAGTTTATGAACACACCGCATATATCCTACAGGTCCTCCTTTCCGATTGTGGCTCCACAGTAGGCTCTTTGATCTGCGATGGCGTATCCACATTGTAGTTCGGGGGATTCGGGGAAGTCAGCAATGGAATGGAAGACCCACTTGTTGATTCTATGATTTTCCCATTGAAAACTCAATTTGCAGGGATTTCCCAGCTAGCCATGATTGATTGCTGGAGGGTATATGTATTTATACAGATATGTTCTGTTCCAAATCTATCTCATCATCCTTCAACGCCCCTCAGCGTTGTTTGATGCTACAATTCAGCCACAAAAAAATCAAATGTTGATCGGTTATGAAATAGACGATTATTCTTAACCTGCCTAGTTTGTTTAAGATAATTACATCCCTGTTCATAGGAACACCAATAAAGATCACCCAGATTCACTATATGCAAAGCACTGGGACCCTTCAAGTGACGGATTGATGGTGATGACTGCTAGATCCGACAAATGAGGTACGACCCTGTTATACAACAAACCTTTGGAGTTGTCCTGTGTAGAAAAGATCGGAATAGATTGGAGCCATGGCCAGTTTTTCCGCTGCGCCAACAGGCAAAGGAAAAGGAAAAGGAAAGGGCAAGGACAAAGGCAAGTGCTTTCGGGATTCAGACGCCAAGGGTGTGTGGTTGGTATGGGAATCCAACATAGATTTCACATGATTTCACATGATTTCACATGATTTCACATGATTCAACCGAGAACCATCATAATGCAACCAACAAACATGGGAATTTCACCAACAATTGTGCATTAAATCATGTCGGAAGGCCATGGATAAACCAATCCCAACCGGAGATTTGTCACATATACAGATACCTATACTATACATACACATGTATACATATACATATAAATATGTATATATTTATATGCATACACTTTCACATAATTCAATATCACTATACACATATATACTTATATTATATATACACATTACATGATAATCCCATGAATGGTGACTTTGGATCACCGGACTTATTCACCATCAACCATCCATAGGAGGATGATAGCAAGGAGGAGGATCCTCCTTTGCGTGATGCCCTTAGTTATGCCGATGGTAGTGCCGTAGGAGTTTATGATCACCAGAATCCACCTTTTACATAATTATCCTAAGGTAAACTAACGATGCAATCAAACCATAATTGTAGTTCCATAACAGAATTATGGTTGTTGTACTATAGTAGTTATGGTTGTTAGTTATGGTTGATAATTATAGTTCATTATATCCTAAGGTTGCCTAACTATAGTTCACTCAATGGAATGGTTACCATCTGGTTATGACTAACAGTTCGCCATGGAAAGATCCACCCATTTTATAGCTAGGTAAACCATCTATTTCTATGGGGCATCTATACCATGGCTATGTTAAATAACCAGAGGGTAAAGGGAAAATCTACACGACAGCCAGGCCCTCCAGTGGCGTCGCAGCCAGCATCTGCAGCCGACTCGTTGGCGCCGACATTCGGAACGGGACCTGCAGGCGTGGAGGGCCTGTGAATTTGGGAGGTGTTTAATGATCAACAGTCAATAAATATATATAAATATATGTATATTATAGTATATATATATTATATATGTATATTATAGTATATCTATATGTATATCATAGTATATATATGTGTGTGTGTGTGTATATTATAATATATATATATACAAGTATGTATTTATGTATATGATATGTTGGGGATATGTTGTTTCGTTTTATCAAAACGACCGAAGGTGGTCCCTTTCGGCCGCGGAGCCAACGCTGGAGGTAGCGACTCCCAGGGAGCATCCGGTGGCGCCATCCTGGCGTGGTTTACATTCGGCCAGAAGGGGATTGATTTAAGGCTTTATGATTTAATAAATGATATATGATAAATGATATATGATAAATGATATATAATATATGATATATGATAAATGATATATGATATATGATATGTATTGATATGTTACATATCATATGTAGTTTAAGTTTAGTTCCAAGGTGGCACTATGTGGCACTACAGTCTATACAGAACTGGATCATCTTAGCATCTTAGCATCCGGATTTGATGGATTGTCCTGGCCGGTCTTATTGTGCGGTTCATCCATCAATGGTTTGGAGAGTTTAGAGCTGCATCATGCTTTGTACTCGTAAGTGATTTGCAAACCATCAATCCTAACTTTGGTTGGAGAATCCTAATGATCCTAATGTATCCTAATGGGCGTGTTACATGTCAATCCATTCATTGTCATTTTGCGAAAGCAAAGTTCTCCAAACATCAACTCATCAGTCATCATCAGCATGTTGCCTATTCGAATTGCAATAGGTGGGGTATCCACTGTTCCATATATTTCAGATGTTAGCCACATTTATGGTCGGTTTTCCATTATCCAGCATATTTTAAAGATGAATGTCCCATTAAGACCTCCAGTTATAAGGGATTTCCCAGCTAGCCATGTAGTGTTTGATAACACCGGAGGGTATATTATACTCTCAATTATCCTGAATCATCATCCCAACTACATCCCAATGATATCCCCATGGTATCCAAACCAGCTCCAGGAGCATCTTGGTAAGGATTTGTTGGTCGGTTCAAACAGTAGTGAAGCCAACATGAATATATACAATTATAATCAATTATATATATATATATGCAATGTAATATGATATAATATGATATGATATTGCTATATTATATATTTTGATATTGTTGTGTCTTAGTTTAAAGTGTCATATATTGTAGTAAATGTGTGTTTCGTATATTCTAGTATGATTTTGTGATGATATATGATATTATTATGTCACCATATCAAATCATCATATTATAGACATTATAGTGTATTATAATACGATCTTATATGATATTAAATGCTATTTTAACTACATTGTATGATAATGTATTGTAATATTCTGCAACAGAAACAAGAATCCTGCAGATGATCAGTTGGATCACAGTTGTCGGAGCCCAACCAATCAAAAATGCAACCCGAATCCACAAGCCACGCCACTGGAGTTTGGCTTGTGAATTCAGATGCCCTTTCTTGCAGTTGGTTTATAACTCCAATAACTACGGTTTATAGGTGATATAGTTAATGGGTTTATAAACAATTTATAACTGGGGGGGCACCACCTTGTAGTGTAGAATAGAATCAAGAACTCGCTGTGCTTTCTACAAACTCGATGTACGTGTTGCATGTGGCTGTCGTTTGGTGATTTCGACTATTGTTCGTCCCAATGCTTGGTGACAATTCCAGTTATCTGGGGTAGAACCATAGTTGTCAGGGTTATATATACATACACATTCCGAATGATTGTGGATGTTATTTCCATGATACTGTTTCATAATCCCATTTGTACCTCCAAGTCATATTGTATGGGTTGAAACTATCAACTATCCCGATCCGATCGTCAAAACTTCCATGTCAGGCTTCAAATCCATCTGATAAGAGCTGTGAACAATCCTGAGCGCCAGTGTAGTTGATAGGAATTGCTGATAGACCTGCTGTGGTAACACGAGCCATGAGGCAGGGCGAGAGCAAGCAGCACTTGAAAGGATGGTCAGCTAGGGGGCTACCCATACTTTTTCAAAGGTAATTCTTGTTGACTCTTGCTTTAAGCCGTGAGCTACGGGAATGTGAATTGAATCATTGGACATTGAGAATGGTTTCAGGGAATGAATGTCACAAAGAAGCGCAGAGAAATGGTTGCGAAAACTGCGTTATATTAAAAAAAAACAACACCAAAGAAGGGTCTCCCACATTTAACAATGGGGTTATCATGATCATTATCACTAACCAAGTTAAAAACGGGATTGAGACCAGTTCATCCTTACCAAGGGTTCAAAGTTTGGGGAGTGATGAGGGACAATGCTGTGTTGCACACGACTCAGTGGATGGGAACTGCCTTCCCAGTGTTTCATTGATAGTCAAGCGAATCTAGTGTATCAAGATGGTGGTTTCAAGACTCTCTGCTTCTATTTGGGAAGATGAGTTCAACTGAGTTTCATCTTAAAGTTGAAGCCACCAATCGAATTATTGAAGGCGTTTTTTTCGTCTGTCGCACCATGTACAGTTTTGCGACCGCTGGGTGAAATGGCAGCTGCAACACACATTCTGAGCGTCAGCCGCAAAGGCTGAGGCATGCTCTAAGACTTACTGGATGATGTCATTGCCCTAGGGGATCAATATCTTCGGAGGTTGGTAGGCATCAAAGCCTAAATTTAAATGTCTCAGCTCAAATGAGCTTCCCATCATCAAAATCTTGAGCACGGGCTCCTGCTACCAAACATTCGCAATCATGCTTGTTTCAAATCACAGTTGTTTAGAGCATCCAATTTTGGGATGTACCCACCTTTTGACCCCAATTTAGAGCACACTGACTCTCTGTTTCATTCATTTTGTCCATCCCCAATTTAGACGACAATTTGGGTTGATTCTCAGGCAACCAGCACATTACAATACATTACAGCCAGCTGGCATCGGTTTACCTGGTGCAGCAAAAGCTAAGGGGACCATCCTCACAGGTTGTTTCACAAATGAAAGCCAATTACGTCCCACGGTGTATCATGATGTTCCCTTTAACTGGAGGTTTCCGAATTAGTAGGGGTACCCCAGTCATTAGACAATGACTTGATCCATTTTAGTATAGCAATTTGAAACCTGCCTGGTGACGACTGGGGATCCCCCATGGCCATTTCCGGGTAGCATTGTACGGTTTTACCACCGCGGCTGATTGGTGGCTCAAATGATTCCAAAGGCTGTCCATCCTCATTTGAAAAGGTAATCAAAACCGAGTTAACTCTTATTTTTGTCACATAGTTTCTTGATGTGTCTTCTATTCTATAGATCTTCCCTTCAACCAAGCTATGTTTAGCAAGCACTGTATATTCCAGCACCACACCATTCCAATCGCCATGTCGAGTGCTGCCCTGGCTTATGTGGACCTTCAGGTGGAAAATCAATGAATTGGTGTTGTTGTGAAAATGGGTGTCCTCTATGTGTTTCCCTTAAAACCAACCCATTGAATAAAGAGAACAGCTTGAAACCCTGCGAAGTAAAAATAGATATAATTCAATAAATCAGATATTATCATTATGATCGGATCTATGATCTGTTTTATTTGGACGCCAAAAGAACAACATGTTGTTGGGACGCCAGCTGAAGTGCCGGGGACTTTTAAAAAGCCAACACTCGGGGAACAGATCCTGTTTACAACCCATGAACCTTGGCTCCGATTTGAGGACCCAAAGATCAAACATTTGTGGGGTGGATTTTCCTTCACATGGTAACACTGGAGGCTGAACGCTCCCAGGGTTGTCATTGTGGAAGTTTGTCCTGTTTGCTCAACCCGTTTGGTACAGTGTATACGTCATATATAATAATTACTGTACATTGATGCAAACATGTATACTGTACGTATGTATATTTGTATATGTACGTTTATGTGAGGTACGCTCGAAAATTTGGTAGACCACTTTAGTAGGGAGTGCTCATTTTGTGTCTGCAAAATGCACCAAACACTGTGTAGTGAGTGTAGTGGTAGCCCCCCCAAAAAATGGTGCCCATAATTGTGCATAGTGCATAGTGTCCACATCTGAAGTTGTTTTTCAATTTGCATACGTGCAAGAGGCGATATTAGCGCTACCCTTCACGATACCTCAGTGATACCCATTTGTTCAGAAAGTAGTGCCAGACCAAAGATAGACCCTTTCATCCTTTCCTTCCCGGAATTACAAGTGTTCCATCATTGTTCTTTTCTTTTTCGTTCCTCATTCTTTCCTCTTTGATTCCTCTTCCTACTCTTCCTTTCCTCTTCTTTCCTCTTTTTTTCCTCTTTCTTTCCTTTTTGCTTCCTATTTCTTTCGTCTTGCTTTCCTCTTTCTTTGCTCTTCCTTTCCTCTTCCTCGCTTCTTCCTTTCTTCTTCCTTTCCTTTTCCCTTCCCCTTCCTTTCCTTTTCCATTACTCTTTCTGTCCTCTTCCTTTTCTCTTCCTTTTCTCTTCCTTTTCCCTTCCTTTTCTCTTCCTGTTCTCTTCCTTTTCTCTTCCTTTCTGTAGGCAAATTTTGATCCTCCATCTTCATAAGTAGGAACGTACAAAACGATGTTAAGCCATAGGGTTCCTCAAAAAAGCGATAACTGTTTTAAATGTATGTTATATGTTGTTACACATGAGTTTGGATGCCTCCACCCTCAAAACAACATGAGTCTTGAGTACGGCGGTATTTGCCGCTTGCTTTGTTTTTTTCCCGGTCGCCAGGTGCACTGCTTGAATGGCACTGTGGTGCATTTCAAGGATGTACCGACGCAGATGTTGGGACGGGAACTTCGACGATTGATTTCAAGTGAACTTCCTGCAAAGCCAGGCGCATTTAGGGACTGCAACCTTCCAGCGTGGGTTTCACTGATGGTGGTGTGGCCAGTAGGGTCCTCACCAATGGAAAGCGTTAAAGGTTTTAACTGTAGAAATTAAGAGGCCTGGTCAAGCAGACATGGCAGCAAACCCTCTGTTTAGCCGACTTTGCTGACCTGAAATGGAAAACTCTGTAAGTTCACCGGGAGCCCATCTCTCCTTTGTTATCCTCAGAAATAACTCACAAATAACTCTAAAAATGGCCAATGCACTTCATTTCTGGGGTCGCCAGTGATCCTTGCTGTATTGATCATGATCGGAAGCCTTTCTGCACATGCGAAGGGGCCGTGGCTCAGGTGGTACTCTTTGCTTGTCCTACCAGGAGAAACCGCTGGTGATGGACCAAACCCTGCTACAGCAAGGAATTGCTGGTGCTGTGGCCTTATCCTGCACCTACATGGCCACCGATGTTTCTGGGTCAGAGTATATGAATGGGTTGGTTGAAGGGAGCATCTATAGGAAACAAAGTTTTTTTTTTAACCCCACATGATCAGGGTTTGCAGTTTCGATTGTCCCTTCAAATTTTGGGAATGTCAGATGTGTTCGTTGTTTCTTGTGGCCATAAAGTTGGTGATTCGGATATACCATCCAGCCTGGCGGGGGGATCTCAAGGTTGGCCCACAGCGACACCTGCTGCTTAACTCACATGACAAGGGGATTCCCCAGTGCCATATACTGCAAGGTACCCAGTCTTCGTTCAAAGTTTGTCAGCCATTTTTCGGGGTTCACAGCTGATGAAACTCCATGAATTCTGATGAAATCATAGATCACACATGGCTCTCCAGATTCAGGATGGGCCAGATTCTCTCCCAGCTATGAGTATTGGTGGACAGCCCCACTTTGGAGGGTGAAGGTTTTTTGCCCATGTACCAAGTATCTTCCCTGTTGATGGTCAAAAGATGTTAAATTCCTTTAAGCCAACATTTATCAACATGATTAATGTATGTTGGAAGATATTAAGCTATGATTATTTCCATGTGTTTAAACACTAAAAAATAAAACCATCATCGAAGTAAACCCATCCAAAAGTTTCCAAAAGTTAAAATCGACAATGAACAAACAGCATCCATAATTAATTAGATATGGACCTGGACTATAATAATATATTATAATTATATGGATCATTTAAGTAAACCTATCTTTACTATTGGAAAGAATATCAACATCCCACCATGTTCGTTGCTGAATCAGGTCTGTCGCGCTTGGTCCTTTCTGCGGGGCATGGGCTTCACTTGCGAAACGGCAGACGTCTTGGAAGGGCTGACCCTGGTGGGACTGCCGGCGATTCATTACCTGAAGCTCTTGGGTCATGAGATGAGCTGGATTTGTAAGCATCAATATATGAGGAATTGGGAAGTCAATAGGGATGTTATAGGGAACTTTTGGGTGTGAAATGGAGGGCTTGTCTTATGAGGAACAACTTTGTGCATGAAACAAACAGCAAGAAATTATGTGACCTTTCGAATCTCCAAACTGCACATAACTGCACCATATCCCACAGAAGACTCCTGGTCAAAACAGGGAAATCCCCGCAATTATCAGCAAGGTCGGTCATGGTCGTCGTTTCTGAGGTATGCTCCCAGAACTTTGCAAACCTTGGTCTTGAACGACAACGAGCCGTTGCAAGAGGTAGTCCCTAACCACCAAGTCGGCGGTTGCTGGTGAAACACCAGATCTGCTTGGGCGTTTCATTCATAGGTTTTGGGTGTTTGCAAAGCCGGGTCAACAGTGGAGTTACTTTTGTAAATCCTCAAAACGATTGCCAGAAATGGGACAATTATATACAATGATTGGATTGCTGTAGGGGAACATCGAAACCGGAAAGCCCAAGCAATAACTAAGCAATAAATGCTGGTGAAAACCCATAGTTTCAACATGTTTCAACTGCAGATTTCCCACGTGGAAAGGGAGGATCCCCACCATTTTTGGCCATGGACAAGTAGCTCAAGCACCAAGCCATGGGACGCATCTGAGTGGTCCAAGCCTGGGATTTGTTTCCATTTTTTGAGTGAAGACCGCAATGATGAATGGAACAGATTTGAATCCTGCTGATCCTGCTGCTTAAGTACTTAAGATATCCATAGATATCCAATGTCAACAACCATGGACACCGATCTCTCGATCTCCCAGGTCAAGTGGCCAGCTGATCTGCGAAGTTTGACCCTGGGCAGATCCTTTGACCAGCCACTGCAGGGCGGGTTGCCCGGAACTTTGCAGTCTTTGACCTTGGGGGATAGCTTCAACCAGAGCCTGAGAGGCCTAAGTTGGCCAAGCAGTCTGCAAAGTTTGACGCTGGGGAACCTTTACAACCAGGATTGGGTGGTCTTGTGATTTCGTTGAAAACCGGTGATGTGATGACGTGTTGCAATGTGAGCCATTGAAGATTTCAACCCCAACATGACTGGGAGGATGTTTGTTCACCTTCAGTTCTTGTTGCCGGGAGTTGCAAGCCACCAGGACTTGGAAGGTGTTAGCTTTCCACAGACTCTGACAACTTTGACATTTGGTGATCAATTCAACCGGAAGCTGGACGCTGTGTGCTTCCCAGCGGGCTTCTCGTTTCAACTGCTGGGATTGGGTTCTGGGAATTTGAAACTGCTCCGAAGGCGACTCATGAGACTCGTGTCAAATGGAACATCACCGATTGACACTGATCATTTAGCTACATGTACATATAATATATATATATTATATATATATATATGTATGTACACATGTACATGATTAGGTTGGAAATATGTTGGACATGTTGATGTCTTGCTAAGGCACTGGAAAGCATGCACATGTATCGGTATGTCAAATTCATTTCCGAGGTGGGTGTTGCGTCCGAGGTTTGAAGACTCTGACCTTTGGAAGGGATTTCAACCGAAGCCTGGAACGGGCAGCCTTCCCTGATGGTCTTGAAAGCATGACGTTCGGCAGGAACTTCAATCATGCACTGCCGGTGATTTTGCCCAGCTCCCTCCGGAGCCTGAAGCTGGGCTTGGAGTTTAATCACAGCTTGGATGGTGTGAAAATCCCCAGGCATTTGCAGAGCTTGACGTTGGGTGATGGATTCAAGCAGAGCTTGGCATGCGTGCTCTTGCAGAGCAGCTGGGCGATCCCAATGAGGTGATCCGAGATTTTTCTTTGGGTTTTTTGTTAACCGCCAACTACAGTATACTCCTAAATTACCTGATATACATATAAAGCAATATAAAACATAGATTGTAAAATCACATATATGTATAGTTTTTAATTGATTATATAATATGATGTACCATGTGTGGGTGGCTCAACCACCAGCTAGGCAGTCTTCAAAGCTTGGCTTTGGGATACCACCTGCCCGCGAACCTCGAGAAGGTGCTACGAATGAAGAGCTTGCAAAGCTTGAGCTTCGGAGTGGGCTTCAATCAGAGTCTCAGGAATCAGGGCATCAAACACAAAATGGTACCTCCCGTTGTGTCTGAGCGAGTGTAAAACGCATCGTAACTATAGACATAACATGACATAACATGTTTACCATAGACCCTATCATATATATAGACCTGCAGTTATAAGTTGTAAACAAGCTTGGCTTGGCTATGTATGGGGCATCACGTCGCAGGGGTCTAAAAAGTCGCATTCTAGCATCACTACAAACAAGCAACTTGAGGTGATGTGCATAATCCCACCAACGATTTTCAAACTGGATCTGATTTGCTTGCTTTCTGATTGTGCGCTTCAATCGAGGAAAATCATATGCTCTTTGAAATTACAGTTCTTTGTGGGATATCAGATATCTAAGTATTCCATATGGCAAACCATGTTGACTGCAAATCATGTTGTCAAAGACTTGTGCTCGCTTGAATGAAGCAGTTTTTGGTTCTTGACCTTGCGGATCCAGTTGGAAACCCTTCAGGAACATCAGCTTGCCAGACAATCTTCAAACTTTGGTGTTTGGCCGAACTTTCAATCAGACGCTGCGAGGTGTGAAACTGCCACCCCTCAAAACCTTAATCTTTGGCCACGACTTCAACCAGAACATGGAGGGAACCAGCCTGCCGGCTGATCTGCAGAGCTTGACCTTTGGGTGTTTGTTCAACCAGAGCCTGGAAAATTTGAAATGGCCAGGGGGCCTGAAATCTTTGACCCTTGGCAAAACCTTCAACCGGAGTCTGAAGAAAGTCTGTTTCCCCTGCGGTCTGCAGAGCTTGACGTTCGGAGCCAAGTTCAACCAAAGTCTGGAGAAGGCCGCCTTAGCGGCTTTGTCAAGATCGGCAGCTTACGGTTTGTGGCTTCTTAACCAGTGGATAGATATTTCAAACAAACATTCTTCACTTACATCCAGTCACTTGCATGGGATGAGAATTCATATGAATCATTAATTTGTTTCCACAAAGTGCAGGGCTTCAAGATGTGTCAAGTCCTTTTTCAACCACCACTCATCATCCAGTCTGCCAGGTGATGCTGCCATTGGGTCTTCAAAGTTTGACCTTTGGTCACTGCTTCAACCAGAGCCTGGAGGCTGTGAGGCTCCCCCAAAACCTTCTGACCTTGACCTTCGGTGCATCTTTTCAGTGCAGCCTGGAGGACGGCGACCATTCAGAAAATGTCCTAAAAGATGTCCACCCGAAAGGATGGTTACCTTTCATGTTCTTTCCATGATTTGTGGAGGTTACCCTCAAGTGATCCTATACATGGCTGGAATATCTCCATTTATAGCTGATGATCTTCCCATGACGGGTTCTTTTTATGACCTTTTTAGGCTTGGTTGAGTTGAACTGCCATCGGCAACGATGGGAAGCACAGCCGTGTGCCAAGTTGTTCACCAATTGGCTTTGTCTGAAATTTGGCTACCCCTAAATCATCCTAAATCCATTGGTTTATCAACGGTGTATCATCAGTTTTCCATAGTTTCCCCATTTAAATGTTCAGGGTATACCCTAGTTTCAGACAGAGACACACCCCACTTGAACTCTGAACATTTGATGCAAATTTGTTCAGACAAATCAGTGGATGCTTGTTCGAAGATGATCCAGTTGCTGTTTACACCTTCAATCTCTTTTTGTTCACCGGATTTCTGACGTGGTTGCTATGACCTACAGCCCCTGAGTGCAGGGCCAGGTTGCCTCGGGTTGCCTTTGGTGATTTGGTACCGCTGCCGCAGGAGGTAGACCTGCCCGAAAGCCTGAAGACCTTAACGCTGGGTGAAAGTTTCAATCAGAGCCTCAGCGGAGTCGCAGTCCCTCCCAGTACCTCAACGTGACGGACGATGTGGGTTACAGGGTCAATTGGTGAACATTTAAGGAAGATCAACATGGGTCCATATCAACAAACCACTTGGGATGTAACCATATTTCAGCGGATTTTTTTTTCTTAACTTACCTTAAAATGTATGAATTCGGCTGGACCAATTCGACTGGTTTTCAGGGTAGTTGATGGATTTTTCTTCACCAGGATGTGGTCAAAATCGATGGATGGATTGTTGATATGTGTGCTGTTTTGCTTATTAATTCCTCAAGTGGGGATGGCAGTTTTTCTTGGGATTTTCCACTGCCTGGTTGGACTAGAAGCCGCACACATACCGATGGCAAATTTTGAGTTTGAACAGGGAAATTAGCTATAAATGGACCATTTTCCATACGTAGCTATCTAAAAAAAAAAACGGGGGATTCGTTGTGGTGGGAGAATTTTTCTGGTAGATAAAACAAAATGAGTCGATAATAAAATCTCACTATCCCATGACCTGCAACAGTAGACAGGGCGTAGCTAATCGCTACTTGGAGACTAGTGAAATTGAGGATTAAACACCTCCCAGATTTTCGTCCTCACCACTTAGAATTGTTACCTTCAGTTCCTGTTCTTGTCACAGCCTGTTGAGCAGCTGGAAGATGACCGGTTTGACCGCATCTTCCCAGCATATCTCCGCATCTTGGATTGGCAGCCGATGCAATTTCCTGGCTTTACATACCGTAACCCTTTGTTGGTCAAGTTCCCCGAGTTTGATCTTGTGCAACTATGAACATCAAATCATGATTCATGATATCATATTTTTTCTGGTTCTTCTCAGCTTCTATAAATCATTGAAAACCCTACTGTATGATTGTATGGTAAATCATTGTAAATCCATGCCACCTATGTCTTTTCCCATCTTTGACCTACTGTATGATTGTATCATGTTCTTCTTTTCTGGATTTACCGTCTTTGACCTACTGTATGATTGTATGTAAATCATTGAAAATCATGGTAAATCATTGTAAATCCATGCCACCTATGTCTTTTCCCAGTCAAAAACTCCCATTTCTTCAGTTCCCTGAGGTCTTCAGGCGTTGATCTGCACCGGCGGCTTCTTTTGGGTCGACGGCTGCGTGGCACTGCCACGCTCGCTGACGACCGTCAGCTGCCACGGCATCACCGTGAGCACCGAAGGGTCTAACGACAGTCCAACTGTGCCCGGCTTGTGGCGAAAAAGGAACGAGGGTCGGTGAGTTATAGAATTTGGGGGTACATGATTTGCTGTTTTTGTTATTGTTAATATATGCTAATATTGTTGATATATGTTGATATGATTATATATATGGGGATAGAATAGTTATATAAATTGGTGACTATTGAGATATGATTCGATATAATGGGATGGTTTGATGATGAGTATTACTGTATCCTCTTGGGATATTATACATATAATATAATACATATTATATATATATATTATATTATATACACAGTATATATAGACCCAGAGGTTCAACAAACCATATCCCAGTACTAGTTAAGTCTTGGGATATGTTGTTTCATAACTATCCGGATTCGCATGGGATATTCTTTCGGGGATAAGGAATAGGGTAGGAATCGAATAAGGATAGTATCTCAACTAGAGGGATAATATAATCTATGTGGTAGTGTGTCAAAACCTTGTACCCCTGTAGTTCACCCCAAGTCATAGCTGGGATTCATGGATGTTCATCCCCTAAATAGTAATGGTATCTATAGGTATTGACCCATAGCCATATGTACATATAAGGCTAATATATCATAGAATTGGATGATGGGAAAATTTTAACCGGAAAGCCCAACCAATTTGATGGTAAAAACCCATGGGTTTCCTGTAAATTTTCCCTTAAACCAATCCATTGAATATATGGTTCTGAGGTTATTATGATCTTGTACCTATTGGGATGATGGGATGGGATCTTCAATTGTTGCCCCTAGCGATTGGGCCGAGGCAAGGGGTGAAGAAGAAGCTTCCCCTGCAGACGTTGGGGACCCAGGAGACCCAGGAGACCCAGGAGTCCAATGGATCCATGATGAAAGATAGCCTCTGGTAATTTGTTCCATAGCTATTGAAAATGGCCCAGTCGAAATAGTTGATTTACCCACTAAAAATGGTGTTTACCAGAGGGTATGACATTGATGAATGGTGATGATATTTGATGATTGAAATATATAGAAATGTCATTACTATTTGCATCCAGGCTGTCATTTCTTTGGATTCATCTGAGGCTTCAGTGTTTGATCGAGTACCTGAATCCCCAGTTGGAGGCGGCACTTCCTTCGGTGCATCCATGGATATTCCATCAATTAATGGAGATCCAATGGGTTCAGCACCTTGATTTTTTGTTGAAATTCGATAGACTTAAAGCAGCCAACCATATATTGAGTGTTTCAATATGGCACGCAGCAACATGTTTCAAATCGGGGTTCGGCGTTCATATTTGCTTCTCATGTTTTGCTCACTTCCTTTCGCTGCAGCACCGCCTGAATGCAATACCATCCCAACTAACATAGACCCTGAAAACTGCCCCATCCCAATTTCAGAACGTCTTTCAACCCCCGAACTGAATGGCAGGGTCTATGTTGGAGGGGCCTTGGTTAACGCGTTGGATGGGCAGTTTGTCCACCAAATGTCTGTTGCTGAACTGCTGAACTGTAACTCGTGTTGGTTTGTTTCTATGGGTTGTTCAATCATACCCTTAGCAATTGCATATACAACCCATTGTTGCGATGGATCCCATTTGTTCAAGAAGGTTTCTATATTGCCACTACCCGAATATAGCAAACCTATTGCAAAACCTGCCTTTGTTCAAGGACTAGATATAGTTTCGAGTATTGATTGAATGATTCGTAGCAACCTCATGGCTTTTATTACTACACAGACTTGAAGTGGTTGTAATTATATATATATATACACACCATGTGTCTCATTTCGAGGGCATGGCTGGTCACTAATTCTGGACTATGACTGGCAGGTGCTTTGCGTGGAGAAAGAAGTGACAGACCAACAGGAGGTGTTAAGGCGAGAGTGTTCTTTGTCAATTGGGTGTTTCTGAAAATGGGGATACCTTCAAACAGCCATTTGAATGGGGAAAATGAATGAAAATGATGAGTGGATTTATATAGAGGTACAGTACCTGATTTTCAGAGAAACACAACTATACAATCCATCTTGGAAAGCCTTAGTACTGAGAATTCAAAAACTTTGGGGTACCCTATGCTCAGACAAAACCAACTGGTCAAGTATGCACATGTTGTTTATCAATGTTCATCATTGTTCTGGGTGACCTTAAAAAATTTTGAACCTGGCACATCCAGAAATCGGACTCAACTTGTCCATGAACCCAACATTTAGCTGAATGAAAATATGTATTTATATATATATATATGTAATCATCCCAAAAAAGATCAAACAGTATATTATCTCACTATTCTGGTGGTATTCTCCATGTCTATCTTTTTGGAGGTTACTATATATATATTCATTGCAAGAAAGATCAACATCTGACCGTTCTGATTTTCCTCGTCAGGTTCTTGAAGGCGACTACTCTGGTGGCATGGCCTGAAGATGGATTGTCTCCCCAAGACCATGATACATGATTAGGGAATCTATGAAGTAATGGTATAGCAGTTTACCGGCAACTGTTCTGAATAGTGAATAGCGTGTCAGGATCAACAAAGCTAATAAAAAGATGAGATATTGACTGGGAAATCAAGCTTGGTTTCAAGTCTTGTGTCTTCAGCCTGATTTGGGATGATGATCCAACATGAATTTTATATGTGTTCCCATTCAATGATTGAAACCACCAGCAATATCTGGTGTGGAATCTGGGCCAAGGATCATGGGTTGTCGTGTGTCATGTGGTCAATATGTATGTATTATATATACACTAATTATTTATGTGGTTGTTTATTTGATTATTTATGTACAGTATCTATTTCTTTATTTACGTCACTCAAGAGTCGTTATAAGTTTTGGTCAAGAGAAATTGGTATTAAACCATCAAACACGGAGCGTTCCTGGTTGCTTCACCAACAGAAATGATGATCTTGCGGATGATTCAATCTTATTCAGTAAACCTATATAGCTATGGAATATCATGTTAAAAAAAGGCTAAATCATCGAACTAAATGGACCATGTTGCACAGCAGACTGTTAGTCTACCAGTATCTACCAGTTGTCCAATGACAAAAAGCATATCCTCCAATGATTGTCCCAATGATTGTCCCATTCTCCCAATGATTATCTCAATGATATCCCAATGAAGTTGGTTATTTCATACTTATATCCAGTGATATGTATATATATATATTATATATATATCCATGCTATCTCCATCACCCGTACCCCCAAACAAAATTGGGTCGGCTTTCACCGAGGTTGGCATCTTGCCGGTGCCTCATCCCATCGTCATTCGCACCTACCAGGCATGGGGGTCCCCCATGGTCCCCCTAGTTTAAGAAACCCCCACATAGCTATGGTTAAAATCCATGTAAATGGGGATTGCCGAGTAGGTAAATCATCTATGGTCCATGTTCTATAGCTACTCTATGTTAGTTTACTATAGTTTACTGGAGGGTGCATTGTGGTGATTTTCCATGGTCTCATGTAAAGTCTTTTGTTAAGAAAAATGTTGTGGTCATGGTTGATTTGGGGGTCAATCCAAAATTGGTTCTTGAAGTATCTTGGAGTCATGTTCACTAGACCCGCCGAATACCTCAAGAAAAAGGTAAACGCGCGAAAACTATGGGGTAAAAACATGTAAAACCACCATTTTTATGGGTACTTGGAGAGGTCAGTATATTTCCGGTGACGCTGACATCCCAATGGCCCGGCTGAAGGCCAGTCCCTACACAGCCATGTGGTTCACATCCTACATGCCGCTGGGCGACAGAAGCGAAAAAGTTGTTTCTTAAAGCTTGGGACCCTCAAAGATTATCCAAAAATATATAATTATACAGTATATATATATATAGTGATGCTTATGTGATTATAGAAAAACCACTGGTTTTAGGATGTTCTAGTGAATCCAATTGGTTTTAGGGACCAGTTTGGAGTGCCACCGTTCTGAGAATAGTACCATCTATAACTAATACTTGGTGGTTCAACATAGATTGGTATTGCTTACAAGTTGGAGTGCCCCAGGACATCCCAAAACTATCGGTTTCCCCAGTACAAAGGACGAACAACTTGCATGAATCACATGGGCCGCCTCCAGAAACCCTCAAATGCTTGGATGTTCTTGACTACGATATCATTCTTTTGTATATACCCTCTGGTAAACTAACATAGCTATTGAAAATGGCCATTTATAGTGGATTTTCCCATTAAAAATGGTGATTTTCCATAGCTATGTTAGTTTACCAGAGGGTACATGTTGGAAATTGAAGTCATTTGTTTCACCTTTCCCTGCTCCAACTTGGAGGATGTTCCAAAGCACTCAGCAGTGAATATATGGTTTTCAGAATGGTGTTTCAGTGGAACAGTGGTGGCTCAGAAGACATTATAGAGGTTTTCAGGACCCAAAAACCTTCAATTAAAACCATCCAATGTTGGGATTCCCCTTGGGACTTGACACCTGCCCACCAGAATTGTAAATCCAAGGGGGGATGTATCCAGATGATTTCCCATAAGAATGGGCAGAGAACCTACCAACAATGGTTTTGGTTTCTCTTTTCCATTGTTTTCTATCTCATGACCAACGTTACAACTTGGGACGTTCAACCCAATGAATGTCATTGAATGACATTGAATAAGAAGATTTGGTCTGGGTAGCTGCCAGCCACACCTACTCCAGGTGGGGGGTGATCTTTACCCGATCGCAGCGAATGCCCCTCTATGACTGGAAGAAGATTCGCCTGGTAAAGGACTCAGCGAATCAATGCCGTGCCATGCCGTGCCCAGTTCTTGGAGAGTGCGGGATGCTCATCAATCCATCTTCATAGGGATTCGTTAATATACGTTTCATCCATTTCATCCTAACCATATAGTCATTGTAATGATTCCAATGATGGGATGCATAACCAGAACTCATAAATCCCACTTGACCATGGCACATATGGGTTTGTCTGAAAATGACTGGAGCGGGCGATGAGCATGGTGGGTTCATCCAAGAGTAGCCATTCAGAAATGGGCATTCGATCAATTCAATCTATCTGTGCTGGTCTTTGACCCTGCGTGATTGAGGGGGGTTCGCTTCAATTAGCTGCTCAAAAAACACTGGTGTTCAGGTTTGTGAGTGGACTGACACAACAGGGTGAATATATTACGACCTCCATCTGATATCCCAAGAATGATTATATTGTTCAGGGATAATCTAAGGAATCTAAGCATACTGGTAGCCATGCCTAGAGGCTTATACGAAGGAATACATGTTACGCATATATATATATAATATATATATATATATTATCAGATAATTGTTGACTAGCACATATATAAAAATACATGGATCGTCATCAACATTGAACAAACATATTGTCAAATATTGTGAATACTAAAACATAGTTGGTATTCATATCTAACAACGGTCATATAGCAAAACTATGGTATTTAATGTTATGTTCCATCATGGTTCCATCATGGTATAGCATTAGCTTTCTATTGTTTTTACTACAGAAACTATAATATATAAAGCCATTGGCTATACTATTGACACCTAATGACTAGAGTTACTCTAAACCCAACAGTCTCCCACGTGACTTCAACGGGGTCAATGGGGGCAACCGGCTACGCCTTGAGGTCACCATCAATAACTGAGTGGAAGGGAATCGTCCGAGTTAGTGCTTGGCTGGGTAGTTCAATGATGTTCAATGGTTTGAATTTGAAATACATATTTATTTTTTTTTAAACAAAAAAACATGATATGTACATATGCATTGCATATGCATATAGCATATACTCACATTGCATGCATACAGTAAATTATATGCATACTGATATGAAATGACAATCCCCAGCTACAAAACGTGGCTTTTGGCAAAAGATCTAGGATCAGACATGGCTATGGGTTTGCCTTAGAGGAGGCAGCAACATGAAGATAGCTTGGATGAGCAGGCATGGTCTTGGAAAAACGCGGGTGAAAGTTGGGGTTCAAAGCGAACTTAGAACTTACTGCTTGGTGGTGTTTATCCTCTGGTTATTTAACATAGCCATGGAAAATGGCCCATTTATAGATGGTTTACCTGGGTTTACCTATAAAACATGGTGATTTTCCATGGCTATGTTAAATAGCCAGAGGGCATATGTTTTTTTTCATGACGGGTTTATGGTCCTTTCTGGTTTTATCAAGCTACCCGGGAGCATGATCATTCCATCAAATCCTGGGATGCGTTTTTTTACCGTTTGAATCTGGTGGTGACTGGAACAGGAATTGTATGACTTTCCATATATTGGGAATGTCATCATCCCAACTGACTATATCATATTTTTCCAGAGGGGTAGGTAGGTATACCACCAACCAGTTATTTTCGAGAGTTCCCAATCCTCATGTATCAACCAAGTTTGATTGATCAGAGGTTACGGCAACCATCCTGGATAAGTTCTTGTCTATCTTTCCACATATTTGTTTCAACACACAAAATTGGACCCTGCCTGAAAAGTCCGGGTTCAATCATCCAGAAGGGATATTTTTCAGAAATCTCTGCTTCCTGCAGGAGCCGTGGCTCTAGCTATGATGTAAAAGATGACTGCCGCACAGCGTCTTTTAAAATGTCATCCAGCAAGCACTGGCAGCACTGGCAGCACCGGCAATCAGCAGAACGGTTTGGCTATCAGCTATACAGCCCACCAGCCATGTAAGATCCACAGCAACGGAGCACAAGTGGTGGGGGTGATTCCCTGCGATGTGAATTACCTGCTTTCGTTCAATGTCCGGACCTCTGGTGTTGTTTGCTTCTTTGCAAGGATAAAAAACGACAGAATTTCCAAGCATCATTCTGTAGAAGGTACTGCTATTCTATTGCGTCAATCTCCTTGTATCCTGCGGCTGCTGATCAAATTTGAGGTTCAAGATCCCCCCATAGCTTCTCATGTTTTCTATCCTTGCTCATCATTAAACAAGACTTTCAAAGGTATTTGACCCCACATTAGGTGTGTCTCCATTTTCACGTGCACTGTTTTTTTTCTTGCGTCATAAAACTGGGGGTCAAACCATGCAAGTACGATTGAACATGTAAAACCTACAAGTCAGCTTCAGGATCGAAATAAGCTGTTCCAGCCGCTTCAGAATGCTGAGGTTTGACTTTGACCAGCTCTCTGAATGCGAAGAGGCGTGAGTTCGATGAGTTAGCACGTTGCTGCAGCGTGGGGACATGCAGTTTATGAAGACCGACCAAGACCCATAAATGGGTGTGTCTGGAAATAGGGTATCCCCAAATTTGGTTGGTGTCTTATCGCTTTATCATCATGTCCCCTATTAAAATGGTCATTTGGGGGTTTAGCCCATTTTCAGACACACCCAAATGATGAATAGTTGCATTTTTTCTCATCCCAGAGACGATGTTTAGTTAGTTGGCGTTAAATAGTTATAGTCATCCGTATTGTCTAGTCACCAAGAATTTGACCTCGAGAGAATAGGGAATCCTCAAAATGGGTCGATAGGTTTTGCTTTAGGGGAGCCTTTTGATTGAGAAGCTATGATAGCGCAACAAATAAAGCTCCCTAAATGCCTAAATGATTTTAAGTAGGAGAACCCGCATCCTAGATCACCTACTGGCCAAATATGGCTCAATCGATTCCTCCATATTGATCCCGAAGCAGATAACTGGATGATCCATCAGATCTATCAATATGAAATGGTTTCATTTGCCAGTATTATATAGAGCAACCGCCAAAATGATAGCAATTTACCACGATTTTGGTAGGAACTTACTTTTCCATGACTTTTCCATCTGAAATCTGTATATATCCTAAGACCCGTGAATCTGAACATGTTTTTATGAAGTAAGTTGCCCCGCCCCTCTACTTCCCAACTCCAAGTCGCAGGAGACGGCTGCACCGGAGTCTGATGGAGGGAGATCCGACAGCAGGACCCAGGGGGGCTCAGATGGGGGGTATCTGGTGGCATGGCTATGGATCAATACCTATACATACCATTTTTAGGGGGATGAACATCCATTTACCAGCTATTTTGATGTTCACCAGGGGGATAGGGTTTTGACCCATCCCCACACAATTCCGTGAATACGGTGATTAAATGTGATTAATGGCTAAATATATTTCAACATTGTGCCTGTTGGATGTATCTCAGTCTGAAGTAGGGTATTTGGAGGCTCCCAAGCAGCTTCAGAACTTGGATCCAAAACTGATCCATAACTGATCCATACGGGTTTTTTCATGAAATTTTAGAGAGGCCAGCGCTCTCAGCGCCCACAAATCTCGTAAAAAATGCTATGTTTTGAGCATTTTCTGACATGTGTGTCCAAGTCTGTAAGCAATATGTACTGTTGCCTTTTCCAGCAGTTTTAAGACATGTTCTCATTGCTGCAGGTTGTCTATCAACGGTTCTATGTCATTTAGCCAGTGAATATCAGAAAGAAAATTCAATTTTGCCCTGTTGCGCCATGCTCAAATGATAGGGGTGTGTTTGCTTCTATGTTGCAGGTTTTTATAGCAAGCATGAACAAGAGGAAACAGCACTTTTGATTGACAGAAGATTTCATTTTGTCCCCAAGCAGCATTGCATCTTCCTGACAGAGCTCCCTACAGAAAGAGATATCGAATGTTTTGCAAGGGTAAGCATATTGTTCCTTTGAAAAATATTGTGTTATTAAACCCTAGTACAGCATCAACTCAGATTCTAAGGGCCACAGCATGCTTCTCATAAGTCATCGTTGAAAATTTGAAAGAATGTGGCATTTCTTGAGGAAGTTGTGGCATGCCTCTATGCAACATTCTTCTATAGAGGGAACAACATTCCTTTGAGAAAGTGTAAAGCAAGACCCTGAGATGTGCATAGCATTCCTTTAGAACAAGTGCGTTCTGTCTTCCATATATTTTAATGAACATATGTAATTCCTTCCATAGAGGTAGTAGTCCTTTTAGAGAAGGGTAACATTTCCTTAAGATAAAATATGCATATACATTAGTGTTTTTCAGAAAAGCGGCATTCCTATCAGACAATACTTGATGGTTTCATGAAATCTTGATTTTAAACAACGGTATTATGCCATATTACTTCGAAAAAAATATTATTCATTTGGAATATATAATATGATTTTCAAATAACATAATTCACTGTATGATATTATCAATTATATATATATATACAGTTACCCACAATCTTCCTTTCAAAAGTATGTAGCATCTCTTTGAGAAGTAGCCTTCAAGACACACAGCAGTCCTAGTGACAGAGTATGGCTGAGTATGGTGTGATTTACAGTAAGTTGTACAAAAGGGAACCCTTTCATATATACAACAATCCCTTTGAAAGAGGGTGATGTGTCTGTAATAAAGCGCAATGCATGGAATTGCCATTTGAAGAAGTATACTGTTCCTTGCAGGAAATATAGCATTATTTTGAAAGGGTATTCTTCAATAAGCAGTTGCTCTTTCAGAGACCACAGTGCAGCATGCCTTTATGCAAGTTTCCTTGAAAAGGATGCAATATATTATATTATATTTGTTCATTCCTTTGAAAAGAGGGTGGTATTCCTTGCTCAGAAGAAAATTACACAAACAGAGCCACCACCTCCAGAAAATCGGAAATTAGGCCTTGCTGTTCAGGAAATATGGAGAAAACATTTTCAAGGTAAAACCACCCCTATAGACAGGCGGTACAATAAGCAAAACCACCAAAAAAACACAAACACCGAAAAAAACAAAAAAAACAAAGATCCAGCAACTATGAGCCCCCCAACCTTTCTCTGGAATCTTTGTTTTTTTTGGTTTTCTTGGTTTTTTCGGTTTTCAGTTATGGATTTTAATTTTGTGTAGGGAATTTTGTTCTTGGGGTTTGCCTGTGGGAGATGCAATGTTGAAGTGACAAGTGCAGCCATATTTTTTTTCTGGATGGGTAGATTCATGGAGAAAAGTGGCAAAAGGAGACTGCCCAAAACGTGGGCGCTCACAACGCTGCTTTCAGAAATTTTAATGGTTTTCTATGGTTTTCTGCTGGAAAAGCATGGAAAATCCCTCATTTTGTAGGTGAGTCCAAATCTCAGGACCAGTGGAGCCGAGACGGCGCAGGAGAGCGAAGATATGTCACTGGGCGCATCGCCGCCCGCTGTTCGCAAATCTCCTGCAGGATGGGGCCCCCAAGATTAGCTAAGTTGCCTGAAAAAAGTGGCCTAACTATGCTTTATGGTAGATATAGCTATAGTTAATGGGGGTTATTTATGGTTATTTCATGGTTTATAAACCAACAAACATCACTGAGAGGGCACCATCCTATGGGAAACGTTGAAAAATCAACGTTGGTATTTTATTGGTGGGTTTTCCATGGTAGTACCCAGGAATTTGCTGCATTCGTTGTTTTTGTTGTGTCCCTACAGTAGTCACCGCAGCATGTTGGATTGCACATGTTGACTATTGCATGTTGGGCGTTGGATTGGTAAGTAAGTGGATTTTAACCGTTGACCGATAGGCGGCAACTTGCTAGGATATTTGACGATCCTTCAAGATACAAATATATATATAGTTTATACTATTATAGGACAGACAGCAGTGTCTAAATGTTTCTACTGGTATCCATTCAGATCCATATAGATCTAGTGTTGTACTTGGATAACGAGAGACTTTAGATGTACAATCCAAATGGATACCGAGGTTAGACCTTCAACGTCGCTGTCAAGGCGCTTCAAAAGAGCTGTGGAAGCCATGGCCGCCATGGCCCAGGGTGATTTTCCATGTGTTAGTTCACGTGGAGGGCAAACCACACATAAAATAGTCCAACACTATCCTGTGAATTCTTGAAAAAAATATTGCTTCTTTTAGCACAGCTTGAAAAGCGAAGCAAGACTATCCATTACTAGATTATGATGTGCGCAGAACAAAAGTAGCAACATGATGTGCCTTTTTCACCAAAGCGTTCTGCTTTTGAGAGTGGTACACCACTGGACAGCTTTATACTTGTAGGTTGATGTCTAGCCAAAGGGGGGAGGATAAAACTACCCAGCTAAAATCTAAAATATGCTGGAATTTGGTGTTTTGCTGAGTACCCAAGAACGGCCTTGATCATAGCACATTTGAGAGTCTGCAGTCTGCAATACATCTGTCCACTCCAAACTCTAGCTGACTTCAGGACATGGTTTGTGCATCGCATGGGGTTGAGTTCTCAGTTCTGGGAAAGCCATGGTTGTTGCATGTGAGTTTGTCGCCATGAGATGTTTTGGGAGCCTCACTTTCAAATAAAACCATGTTGTTGCTTGGATAATTTTGTGTTGTGTACACACATCGAGTTCCCAAGCAAAGTTTCGTCATCTTTGGCCTGCTATAAGCAGCCAAATCTATGTGCGACTACTAGAATATGTATGAACCACTACTGTCACCAGCAACTAACAATTCATGAGGCACTACAGCTCATATAAAAGGTATTAAAAGATTTGACAACCACGTTATCAACATGCTCTGTTGATCTCAATGCTGAAGAGAGAAGCTAATCCCATCCCTCTGAACGGTCCAATGACGATGGTCCAAGATCATGAGTTGATCATCTCATATTTCTCATTGATATTCTATGATATTTCCAGTGATAGGGAAGAGGTTCAACTACCCTCTCTGGTAAACTAACAGAACTATCGAAAACCACTATTTAATGGGTAAATCCAAGTAAATCCACTATAAATGGCCATGTTCAATAGCTTTTTGTATGTTTGCCAGAGGGTTTTTTCTACCCATATCCCCTGAAGGAAACCCAGCGAGTTGGCCGTTACCTGAGCCAACATGAGGTCCGGAAAAGCAGCAGATGGTTCGAAGGCTCAGTGTATGCCAATTTCACCAGTGATGAAGGTGACGGTACATGGTACTTGGCTGGTTAATATGGTTATAGAATATGCTAATATGCTTACGAAATGGTTATGTATCTATATGTCTATATATATATGGTACTTGGTTTCTTCCTGAGTTCGGATGATTGGTAACTAGTCGTGCATATACTGCAGTTTTTTGGGTCTGGGTCAAGTTAAAACATGATGAACCCATGAAAACCAAACAGGAGATTGTATACTAAAGCTTGGGATATATTACGCCGCCACATGTAGAGCGTGTAGACTCTGTATGTCTTTGGCTTAAGGAAGGGTTGGTAGAGGTTACCCTCCGGTAATTTAACATAGCTATTGAAAATGGCCATTTATAGTGGATTTACCCATTAAAAATGGTGATTTTCCATAGTTACGTTAGTTTACCAGAGGTTACCATTGAACTACTGTATCCCAATCAGTGGTTCCAGCAAGCTGAGGTGGCGATGCTGTCCGAGGCGCGGGGTGAGACATGACAATGATATACGATGATCATCCATGGTCAGGGTGCCATGCATCCAAACTCATCAGAATGAGTGCCCCCAGGGCATAGGATAGCAATTTTGATAAGTTGAAAGCATGGAAATTGTATTTGGGAAAACCGTTTGATCTTTTTTGGGACCACGAAATGCTTTATAGTATTAATATGTGTGTCTCGTGCACCCATCAGCAGTGGCTTGAGATGCATTCCTGTCGGAAGCTTTTGGCTATTTGGTGAGAAGTGGCTATGCTGACACTTTTTGCTGGCGAGACTACCCACTGAAAGGTCTTTTTTGGATGTAATAGCAAATGAACGGCAGAGTACCACCACCCACTACCGTCATAATGACGGTAGCCATTCCCATTGACAGCGAGGTGGAAGAATGGGGTCGCTTCGGAATTTGCGCACTGAAGGAGGATGGGCAGTGGTTTGAAGCGTCCGGCAGTGAATTTGCATGTGTTTCACTATATTTCTTGTTTTGGATATTATGCATATTATATGTATGTTAATGTATGTTAATGTATGTTAATGTATGTTAATGTATGTTAATATATGTTAATGTATGTTACTGTATGTTAATGTATGTTAATGTATGTTAATGTATGTTAATGTATGTTAATGTATGTTAATGTATGTTGATGTATGTTAGTACATATATCATCATATATCTTATATAATATATATATAGTTATATATAAGGTGTGGCATATATGTTTGAATATGTGTATATTTAGGCTATGTAAGCGGGAGACACCACGACCCAGAAAAGGTATTGGCCCACGAGGCTTGATGCAGGTTCAAATATAGGGAACCTGGGTGATGGTTCTTTGAAAGAATCAGTTGGGTGTTGACATGGGATATGCTGGTGTTAAGCCATGAAACATATGGAACAATATGGAACAATCAATTCAACTTTTAAATCTTCAAAGGGTATGCTCAAGTGTTCAACCACAGATAGAACGTCGGTGAAAACCTGCACTTTTAGGGGATTGTCAATTGCCATGTTTGATTGCCGGAGGGTAGACAGATTCGACATGATTCAACCTTTGGAGAAGCTTCATATCACTCCGTGCGCGGCTTGGGCCGAAGGAGTGCGGAAAACGGCGCATCCCAATGGAAGGTTTGTACGTGGCGGTCTCAATTGCTGCCAGGGTTGAGGTGAGAGCACGTTGATTGAGAAAGATGGAGATTGAATCTCAAATGGTGTAAAAGCCTGGAAGAACCATGATCCAGCAAACATCTTTACCTCAGCGAAAAAATATGCATAGCTTCTTATACTGTTTGCATATTATCAACGGGAACAGACCGAGATTTCATTTGTTGAGTCCAGGAAAGGAGAGATGTTCTCTCCCGGTTGTGTGACGTTTTGGTGTGGCCGGGATCCAAGCGGGGAGATCTGCGGGCAGCGGCAGCACCGCCGGGCTTCTGTTACTCCAAAATCGTGAGGTACCCTACAAATCCATACAAATCCCTACAGTAAAATCATAGAGATATGAAAAATCCACCACTTATTGTCGGAGTCTATTCGTTTTGGCAGGACAATGTTCACTTGTTTATGTAAACATGATGGAATAAGAATCAAAACGCGCTTTTAAAACCGAACACACAAGCATCAACTGTCAATTGTTGGGCTTTCCTATGGGCTTTGCATTTCGTTTTGTTCCTTTGCCCTGGGGCAAAATGGATGTTTTTATGGCTGACAGGTTGAATTTTTGGCCGATTCAACCTGGCCGATTCGAGGCAGCAGATGTCCCTGAAGCAGCTCCAGTCGGAATGCTGGCGCAGAAGGACGTCCCTTGATGCCTGCGTTGACGTCTGTGCGCAGGGTCCATGGGTTTCTCATGGTTTCTCATGGTTTCTCTGAAAATTCAAGGGAAAAAGCACCAAATTCCATGGTTTATCAACATTCGATTAAGAGTGTCAAAATTGAAATTTAAAGGGAAATGCCTTCTTTTCAGAAACGCACATATGTCAAACCTGTTTGACTCGGTAGGGCAGCAGGGTAGTACCAGGGGATTACGTGTAGAATACCCAACTTTTCTTGATGCTGCAGGCTTAGTATTTAGCCACGCATAGTGAATGAAATGCCCAGCGAAACATTGAACTGGTTTGGCGGGTATCTAAGATTTGCCATAGGTTTGGGCAAATATTTGATGCCACAGAACCACTGGACATCCATTACTTATTCAGAATAAGATTTTGTTTTAAGATTGGTGTTTTCAATTTTGACCCTCACCTCGCCCCCATGTCATGTCATATCCTGTCCTTTCTGGCTTTTCCACCGGCCGTTTCGGTTCGGCCTTTGACACCACGGTCAGGATACCTTACATCCCACAAAAGCGGGTGAGCCACATCATTCTGCTGGAGACAGAGAATCCGGCGCCACGGATTCCATCAATTGCCCCCATTTTTAGAGACACTCGAAATTGGGAAATTCGAAAATTGGGAAGAGCCACTTCATGGCCTTTTTTTTATTGGGAAAATGATGATAATCCATTGGGTTTGGGGATGTTTGGGGTATCCTGTTTTCAGACAAAGCCATTGGGGTATCCTGAGGCCGGAGGATGCTGAGATGGCATGCTCATATACCTACTGTATCTCACTGTCATGCCAAGGAGAACTGCAAGTACTCAACCAACTCCAGGTACCAGTATATACTGGAAATGGAGAGGTATGTATCATGTGATATATATATATATATAGTGTCAAATATATATATATATAGAGTGTCAAATATATATATATATTATAGTTATATTATATAGTGTTGATTCCTCAAAGACAAATTAACCAAGGGTTTTGGCAACTGCTGAATGTGAGATCCTTACAGGTTCCATGGTCATCAATCCATTGGGGATATGATTCCTCTTGTGGGATGGATGATTGACATGTGTGATTTGAAAGTGTGATATTACTATGATTATCCAATCAATATCCCCATATATCCACATGAATCATAGTGCTATCTTCAATTACATCATTATTCTTCACAGCACACCAGAAAGATCAACCACCAGCCGCATTTCAACCTCGGAATCCCTCGGCAGCATGCGGACGAGCATGAAGACTTGCTGCGGCGCTTGATGCAGGAGGGACCGGTTGGGAACCGCCCAGCAATGGTGACGTAAACTACGATAGAGATGGACATCCATGGTGTTTCAAATTATATCCGAGATATATCACTTACTTTATGGGTTTCCCATTTGGAACATGTTCTACAAACCGTGGATTGTCATGGATTGTCTATGTTGAAGGGAGTCATTTACTTTGAGTGTTATTGCAGTAATTGACTGAGGAACATCCCAAAAAAAATAAGCTGGTTGATCGAAGAAAAACCAACTAAACCGGAGCAACGCTTCTTGGAAAAAGGATGAAAAAGATGCAAACAATCAGATAGCAAAGCAAGCAATGAAAAACATAATTTTGGCCCACCAAACCATGGGGTTATCTATTCAGAAGGTTCGGGTTCAGGATACGCCAGTCAGCTGTGTGCTAGGCTCTGGACCTGGGTTTCGCAGCCTGCATGATGTTCACCAAGCCTGAGACAAGGATTCCTATCCAAAACCATTCCAGAAGACCAGTTAGAAAACTGCTCCAAGGCTGGCCAAAAAGTTGCATCTGAGAAAGGCTCAAATGGTGTGGTTTACAAGAAGGGTCCCCTCGTTATAAGTTGGTTCATAACCTCATCTACGTATAGATGTCTCCACTGTAAAATCCTAGTTACATTAGTCCGAAACTCATTTGGCTATGGATCAATACCTATAGATACAGTTTATTAGGAGATGAACATCCATTTACCAGCTATTTTGATGTTCACCAGGGGTACAAGGTTTTGACCCATCCCCATTTATGTAACATAAATTCACCATGGGGTTCACCAGCTCTGTGCTCCAGGATGCATTTCCTGGCAGCCATGGGCCTTTGCCAGCAGGAGGCTGCAGTTTTCCATGGTTTTCCATGGTTTTCCCAGAAAACAATATGGAGGTTTCTTAAGTCATAGGGGATTGCTAGTCGTCACCATGGGTTTCAAGTTTCTAAGTCATGGTGTGTTTCATGAATTCGATGATTTGGGGGTACCTCCATGACTTGGGAAGCCTCATGAAGCCTCGATATGGGAGATTATCTCAGAATAACTACAGGATACTTATGGGATATTATTGCAGGAGAGTACAGGATAATTATGGGATAATGATTGTGTTGAATGCTTTAGGTTTGTGATTTTCTCCGAAGTCGTTTTGTTTGTTGGTTGCACTCTGATAGGCCAACAAAGCTGCAACGTCAATCCAGAGTACACACACAACTCATGAATGGTCATTAGAATTCATTAGACGCGTTGCGTTTGCAAAAAGGACTCAAGAGGTTTTTGTAAGCGAGAATTCCTATGGAAAGCCCGTATAGAAAGTGTTTTGGATCTATAGACATGATTGTTGCATATGATGAACTCAGATATAATGTGGCTAACCCAATAAGAATCCGGTAACCCTATCCTCTTTGGAGGGTTTACTGTATACCACCCATTGATTTTCATGTTGTGGATGGTTGATAATTGGATTTACCATGATTTACCACATTATATAATCATATTACCCCACAAATTTACAGACTTGTGTATATATATATATATATACGTATATATATATATATATACGTATATATATATATATATACATACATATGATATATGTGATTGGTTTACCCCCTTGATCAGCACATTACCAGATATTACCAAATACTTGGGTCATAGCTGAACCCCTGTCCATGACCCCCCAGGTCTTGGTCGATCCCTGCCATGTCTCAGGAATTGCAGGAGTTTGGACGTTCGGAAGTCCCAGCTCTAGTGATGCATCATGTTATCCCCAGATTCTATGGAGGTGTTCATACATGGGGGTACCCCTTTATCACTGGATGGTTTTTGTTAGGGAAAATCCCATCCATAAATGGATGATGACTGTGGGTACCCCTATTCTAGGAAACCTCCATATAGTTAGATTACGGTCAAGGTGATGAAGATCCTTAATGTGGTAAACCCAATGTCACATACCGTCCCAGTAACCAGTAACGAACCAAAAAATGATTTTTTTTTGTGTAATGATAGACATCATCCCAATTATCCCAGAAGTCATCCAAAACTCCATCAAACTCCCCGGAAAATCCTCCAAATATCAACTATTCACATTGGTTTCTTTGCGATATCTCCGACAAATCGCTAAGGCCTGGGAGTGGAAGTTTCGCAGGTGCGGGAGTATCTCAGGTCAGTTCATCATGTTATCTGGATCAACATATATGGGGGGGTTCCATAAATGGTACCCCAATATATAGCTGGATGGTTTATAGTGGAAAATCCTATTGAAATGGATGATGACTGGGGGTACCCCCATGACTTAGGAAACCTCCATGACGAACGGATATAGTTGATACATGATGGTGCATGGATGATCATATGCGGGAGCGACTGGATGTATGTGGTTTATAAATGTTTATCAGCCATATATGTTTGACTCAGAATATTCCTCATTAAATGACGCATTTTTGGGGCTACACCTCAGTTTCAGAATAGCCAATGTGTGTTGAACATCTTGGAACCCAAAGATAGACCAACTCAAGGTTGGTTCACCAACTGCGAGCACACAGGCGGTGAGCGCTTGCCCGTGCGGCTCCCAGATATACCCAAAGTATCCAAAAGTTATTTAATTTTGAGAAAAACATATATTTTCAATTATTTTCAGACGTCAACGGACCATGTCATGGGGGTGGAGTTTGGAGAGCCACCACTCTTGGAGAACACGGGAGATATCTTGTGGTGGCAAGAAGCTTGGAAGCAATTGAATGACATGAAGGGTCACGGCAGGTCCCTGGGTCATGAGGGAGGATTTCAGGGAAATGCAGAGGAAACCATTGGGAAACCAAGGGTATTCCCCTCCAAGTACAAGGCATTCCTAGAAATCCTCCAACCGATTCTGAGCCTGTTGGTCTGTGAGTGTGGCCCTGTGGCCACACTCGTCTTGTGCTGCTCATGAGGCGCCTCAGATGAAGATTGGGACCGATGAAATCCGACTAATTAGTGCATTTACATGGGAAATTTGACTAGTGACTAGTGAATGGTTGGGTATGACATGGAGTGCTTTTGGTGTTTTTTGCCACTAGAATATAGCCTACTCAAAGTTTTTTTTTTTGCAGCTATTTTAGCATTTTTGGAGCCAACTCTACCAAATTTCTCGGAGCTCTCCCAAATTCAAACCTATGCTCCGCAAAATCCAGAGAGGATCACCGGATCACCCACTTTGTTTTTTATGGCAAGATGCTCAATGTCGCGTTTTCTTTACGCCGTAGGTAGCCTTCAATGTGCTTTTTAAACCATTTGCCTCGGAAAAAAGATTGAAATGGTGTTTCGATAGCTTAAAATGACCCGGAAAAACAAACAAGCATAATACATATGTATGTATATATGTTTTTATTAGTTGTCTTAAAAAATGATTTCTTTGCATCCTCGGCTTCCAGCACCAAGGCTTGGACTGGTGAAAGGGCGTCGGGGAGCCTCAGTTTTTCAAGCCTGTGTTGTGAAAATGCTGGGATTTAACCTTGGATTTTAACCAGCAAAATTGGGAGTTAGCAAGGCAGAATTTGGATGAAACAATGGGTGGGTGAAGGGGAAATCCACAGGAAACCGTATGATTGTTTAATTGTTTACCCTCTGGTAATTTAACATAGCTATTGAAAATGGCATTTTTTAATGGGAAAAGCAACTATAAATGGCAATTTTCAATAGCTATGTTAAATTACCAGAGGGTATCTATTTTTCTCTTGAACCAATTCTACTAGTAGGACGATTGTGATTTAACGACATTCACCACACATGATATGGAACCTGAAGATGCAAGTCAAGTGTAGGACTGTGCTTATGCTAAGTGAATTCGGATGTTTAGATATAATGGACGAACTGGGAATCCTGGCAGAAATGATCGAACCAACAAAAGGTGTTGAGCACTGCTGTGGAGAAGGAAACTAACCTCAGGTAGTCTAACCTGGCAATGAAATGCAATTAAATATTCCTCATTATAGATTATGCTTGCAATACCAAATGACTACATATTGTCTACCTTTGGGTAATCAAACATGTCAATGGAAAATCACCTCATTTATAGATGATGTTCCCAGCTAAAGACCTTCATTTAACATAATTTAACTATGGGGAAACTCCCATTGCGGTTGCCATGTTTGATTATGGAGAGAACCGACCAAGATTGGGCAACGACGACAGCCATGTATCGAGCAACAACAGGATCCAGCAGAAATGATGATATTCAGGGATATTGGATATCACCACCAACTCTGAAACACATATACGTATTTATATATATATAAACGTAGATACATGTATATACTATGTATATGCATATATATATATATAATTTGTATAATGTATGCCGGAGAATGTAAATCTATGCCTATAATGTCAATTTCACAGATGACGGACAAAGTAGCATTAGGTGATGCTAGGTCGGATGAACCGGTCCTCTCGAGTTAGATCACAATGCAAACCTACCCTTTGGGGGGTGGACATTGGACATATCCGATGTTGATGGAAACAAATTCATTTGGAAAAGAATATACAACTACACATATTCATGAGGATGAAACAGTGTTGCAATACAGATACTGATTCATCGATGATTTATGCATGAATTGGCAATGATGTCACACAAGCCAGCCACGTGCAATCTCACAGTACTTGTACGTTCTATTGGATCTATTGGCGATTGCACTGGAACCCCTTACACGCCACTTTTGGAGTCCTCTGGGTCAAGCCCCACACGCCACTGAAGTCACAATCTTCATTCCAAAAAAACATATGTATATATATACATATATATATATATATATATTAATATATGTAGCACATATATATATATATGTTTGGGTGGATCGGTGGATCTTGTTTCTTTGGGCTTAACTCTCCTCCACAATTGATTTCAACACGACGCCACCGAGGCCGGGCTTTGAAGGTTGTGCCGCAACGCGGCCCACATGGCAGTGGGTGTGCCCAGTGAGAGGCTGATGTGCCAACATTGGTCTCCTGGTCCGAAAAAATGTGGTAAAACCAAGAAACCTGACCATGTGGTCTCTTAGAATCCGTTGGTTTACTTCATTCTTCAAGTTTTATGGTTCTTCACTTTTCCACTTTCCTTTTAGAGAATGTTCTTCCAAAAAATCTGATTCCGTCATTTCTTGAGGGAATAATTATAACAAGAACGTTTCTTGGTAATACTGGGGTCCCGTTTTGGGTGCCCAGGGTGCCCAGTGACATCCAGTGACACAACAGCAACAGAATCCCAACCGTTATCCCAACCTCGGTTTGTTTTCAGCAACAAGAAATTTTGAATCGTGCTAGAACCAATCAAAAAGCAGCTATCCAACAAAGTGTGTTCCCTTCTGGTGATTTCACAATTACGTTTGCTATGTAACATCACCATTTTTAAATAATAGAATCGCCATCGTAAACCATCAAAAAATATCATTTTTTCATGGGTTAAATTAGTGGGTTACTCATAAATCGTCATAAAATCACAGGTAAATCACCATGAATTGCCAAGAATGGTCCATGTTCCATAGCGTTCCATTGCCACAGGGCGCCTAGTGGTGTGCCCTTTGGAAGCGCCCCACGGGCGAAGCCAAGGCAGTCATGGGAGCAATGGGGTCAGACATGCCATAAAATACGGTAAAATGATGGGTTTATATGGTTTTATCATGTTAGTTATATATATATAAGTATATATATATATATACACGGTTTTATATGGTTTACATGGTTTTATCATGTTTTATGATGTTATGATGTTTTCTAGGCTTCAACCAATGCAAAAAAGGAACCTACAGTACCGTAAAATCATAAAGTTGGGGTTTGACCACCGTGAAATACCGTACAATGGTGGTTTCAATACCATATACTTCACAAAACTGCTGGTTTCACCAGCAGAAAATTGGCTTTCGACGTCATGTATGGTATTTTTTGGGGGGTAAAGCCCAAAAGTGGGCGCCAATGGACCCACACCATTTGTGATTTGTTTATTATTTACATACGCGTCACAAAATTGAAGTCAATAATTTGGAGCCATACCCATCTGATCAATCTACGGAAATTGCTTGAGCTTAGAGTTTACCAGCAAATATGGGTTAGTCATTGGAAACTCCAGCAACAAGAGGATACCAACAATAGTTGGACAAATGACAACAACCTGACTGCCCGACCAAGTCCCATAGATCCGTAGGGATGGATGATGGGTAGAATTTGACCGGTACTTGGGAATAGGTCCAAAACCCAATACCTTGCTGTTCACAGCCAAAACAAGAACAGACTGGTTTACGTTGGAATGTTCACCCAATTAATTCCTGCGATCATTTGAAATGAATCCATGGCCCATGTCCATTTAAAGAATTCCTGACATCCATCACGTTTACTTGAGAAAGCAACTGATAAAAGTTCAATCAAATTGTGTATGGACTCATGTTCATATTCATTTACCCTCTAGTAATTTGACATAGCTATGGAACATCGCAGTGTTCAATAGATAAGTCATGTGTAAATGGACCATTTTCCGTACGTGAAATTATCAGAGGGTATACTCCCATGACATATTATTATCATATATTATCCAAATGGTTATGTAATGGTATCATTGGGATAATTTGTATCATTAGTTATCATTATATGGTCTTGGTATATCTGATATATGATAATCATAATGATAATCATAATGATAATCATATGGTATTATAGATAGATTGTCCTAAAGATTATACTATTATAATGATATATGATATATGATTTAATGATTATATTATAATTGTTATAATGATATTAATGATATCTCTCTACAAGGATATTTTGGCTGGTTGTATCCCATTGAATATCTCTAGAAATTCAGCCACTGGTTCCCTGGGTGCCTAGATCATCCCAATGGTGTTTCGTTTCGAGGTTACCAAGTCTGGTGATCCAATGAATACCCTCTGGTTATGACTAACATAGCAATGGAAAATGGCCATTTATAGTGGATTTTCCCATTAAGAATGGTGATTTTCCCATCAGTTATGTTAGTTTACCAGAGGGTAACTGGGTCAAAAAAGATGTTATAAGCCCAATTTACTAACTTACTAAATGGGATGATACTCCAAGTATCCCCCATTTTACGAATTTTTGGACACTTTCGAAGGTTTTTTTTGCTGACATCAGGGCAGAGAAATTCACCACTCACTGGCCCTGCCTCAAGGCTTTTCCATTGCTTCGATGGGCCGTAGAGTTGGTTAGCTACTTAGGAATGTGATTAACCCTTTATATTTGGGTGTATATATATATATATTACTATATTACATTATATATACATATACATATACATATACACTACATATATATATATATACACATACATACAATATCTGTATAATATATATATATATATATTATATATAGAGAAAATACACACATAATGGGTTACAACCAACTAACTAACCAGTTTCCGAACTCCATGGCCCTCCAAGTACAATTTGGTCAGCGCGAAGGCCAGAGCCTCAACGTCCCGCTGGCCCCAAAGCAGGGCTTGGTGGTGCTGGAGCAGCTGGCGCGTGGTCACGCGTCTGAAGGGATGGAGGTTTCCTAAGTCATGGGGGTACCCAAAAATCATCCATAATGGGAGATCCAATGGTTTGGGGTATCCAAAGTATATCCCAAAAATGGCAGTTTTGATGTGGATACCCTCTGGAAATCAAACTTGGCAACGGAAATTCCTCTATAAATGGAGGTTTCATTGAGAAAATCATTCATAAATGGAGTGTCCATTGCCATGTTTGATTGCCGGAGGGTATATACTGTATATATATATACATACATATACGTAACATACGTGATATATTGTCATACAATAGGGATTTAGTGCAGGTATGTGCAGTGCAGATATAATGGGATAGAATATGGTATGACCCACAAAATGATACAATATGATATGTGATTTTGTCTGAAATTTTGGTATCTTGGAAAGTGAAAAATAATGATCAACCATCAAATTTGCATCAAATTTGGTGGTAATTACCTGATTTTCAGACTCACCCCAAGAATGGTTCATGTTCAGTCATTCTTCAGTCTTTCCGTGGTAATTTACGTCTATTTTTACATAGCTATCGAGATTAGCCCATTCTTAGATTCATAGAATTGGATGATGGGAAAATTTACACCGGAAAGCCCAACCAATTTGATGGTAAAAACCCATGGGAAACCATGGTTTCCTGTAGATTTTCCCTTAAACCAACCCAATGATAGATGATGTACCTTTTATTACCATGGCCATTTCCATGGGCTGCGCTGCGCTGGGAAATCCCTGAACTAAATGGAGCCTTTTTTTTCGAACTAAATCATGAATGTTCCATGGTAATCGAACTAAAATACCTAAATGGAGGTTGTATTCAAAGGAAAATGCTCCATAGTTCTTTTTAGATTTCCAGAGGGATATAATATTTACAGGCAGAGGTGTCTCGGTGTCTCCCCAAGGTGCGCTCTTGGTGGCTTCTTGCTGTGAGGGACCAGATTTCGTATGCAATATACCATGATTCATGTTGAAAAGAAAGAGCTTTCGTGGTTTCTGTCGTTTCAGAATGTTTCTGCTAAGTGAGTGGCTGCTAAATTCCGTGTCATCCCTTTGTACTGGTTGTTTTGCAGGAATTTCATGTAACCCATGGGAACACAGATAGACTGGTCCATTTGTAGGATTCGTAGGAGGGTAAACCATGACCCATCCGATGTTTGGATACATCACTTGACCCATGCCCAAATACATCAACCTTATTCGGGTGAACCTTGGATAGATAAGTTATATACGATAAGCCTTTGCTGAAACTGACAAGTGTATGTATGTATCTACTAACATACACTTACATATACCACATACAAGCATACACAAACAAGAAAACGAATGTATAATAACAATATGTACTGTACCATATGCTAGCATGTAACATGTATATAAGGTGTATACAGATATACTAGTGATGTACTACCAATTACTATCATATATACTATAGCTGCTATGTGATATATATACCAACGAAAGCTTGAAACAAAAAAAATTGTGAGGTCTCGGGCTTTTCCAGATCTCCGTGAAAGCGAGGTGACCGGCGGAGATTGCAGTGGCTAAAGCCCGGTTGGTTGATGATTACAGGGAGCTAATGATAGTTCATGATAGCTGATGATAGTTCGTGCTGGTTAATGATACTTAATGATACTTAATGATACTTAATGATACTTAATGATACTTAATGATACTTAATGATACTTAATGATACTTAATGATACTTAATGATACTTAATGATACGTAATGATACGATACTTAATGATACTTAATGATACTTAATGATACTTAATGATACTTAATGATACTTAATGATATTTAATGATATTTAATGATACTTAATGATACTTAATGATATTTAATGATACTTAATGATATTTAATGATACTTAATGATACTTAATGATATTTAATGATATTTAATGATATTTAATGATACTTAATGATACTTGATGATACTTCATGATACTTAATGATACTTAATGATACTTAATGATACTTAATGATACTTAATGATACTTAATGATACTTAATGATATTTAATGATATTTAATGGTATTTAATGATACTTAATGATATTTAATGATACTTAATGATATTTAATGATACTTAATGATATTTAATGACTCTTAATGATACTTAATGATACTTAATGATATTTAATGATATTTAATGATATTTAATGATACTTAATGATACTTAATGATACTTAATGATACTTAATGATACTTAATGATACTTAATGATACTTAATGATACTTAATGATACTTAATGATACTGATATTTAATGATACTTAATGATACTTAATGATACTCAATGATATTTAATGATACTTAATGATACTTAATGATACTTAATGATACTTAATGATACTTAATGATACTTAATGATACTTAATGATACTTAATGATATTTAATGATACTTAATGATACTTAATGATACTCAATGATATTTAATGATACTTAATGATATTTAATGATACTTAATGATACTTAATGATACTTAATGATACTTAATGATACTTAATGATACTTAATGATACTTAATGATACTTAATGATATTTAATGATATTTAATGATACTTAATGATACTTAATGATATTTAATGATACTTAATGATATTTAATGATACTTAATGATACTTAATGATATTTAATGATATTTAATGATATTTAATGATACTTAATGATACTTAATGATGATACTTCATGATACTTAATGATACTTAATGATACTTAATGATACTTAATGATACTTAATGATACTTAATGATACTTAATGATACTTAATGATATGATATTTAATGGTATTTAATGATACTTAATGATATTTAATGATACTTAATGATATTTAATGATACTTAATGATATTTAATGATACTTAATGATACTTAATGATACTTAATGATACTTAATGATATTTAATGATATTTAATGATATTTAATGATACTTAATGATACTTAATGATACTTAATGATACTTAATGATACTTAATGATATTTAATGATACTTGATGATATTGAATGATACTTCATGATACTTAATGATACTTCATGATACTTAATGATACTTAATGATACTTAATGATACTTAATGATATTTAATGATACTTAATGATACTTAATGATACTCAATGATATTTAATGATACTTAATGATACTTAATGATACTCAATGATATTTAATGATACTTAATGATACTTAATGATACTTACTAGCCAATATTATTTTGGAGGATTCTCACACTCCAACGGAATCCCAAGAAAAAACCACATAGAGGGACGACACAGGCTTTAGCAGCCACTTCTTCCTCTTCTCCTTCTTCCGCGGTGGGACGATTTATCGGATCAACGTGTTGGTCAGAAAATATGTCAGGAGAAATGTCCAGATATCAGAATTGATGTCAAGATACCCTCCGGTAAATGAACATAGACCCTGGTAGATAGGGGTTGGAAGATTATTTTCCATTAAAAATTGGTGATTCTCAGGGTCTATGTTAATTTACCAGAGGGTAGATGTCAGGATACATATATACACACACATATAATATATATATATATACATACGTGTCTGTCAGCCTTTTTGTCAGAATGTCCAGGAGCATCCAGCGGCGGAGCATTTCCGAAGGTGGGATCCAGCTCTCCGTTCTTGGGATACCATGAGCTAAAACAATGCCATAAACCACCCCCCAAATCACCATGTTTATAGGTGATATCAACCGTTCCAAAATGGTAGGTTTATTGTTTTACCCACATTAAGGAAGACAGAATTTCGATAACAATGATTTAACAATCAAACATGAAAAAATACTTGAATTGTCTGACGGCGTCACAACTATTATGTATTATAATGGGTGTTTCATATTGTTTGGAAAATACACATAACAACAACCTCTCCGCAAATGATGGTTAGTAAGTGAAACCATGCATCCCCAATTATGCTTCTTTTCGGGTTTGGGAATCGTTGCACTTTGTCCATATCTTGACCAACAAAGCCTTCACGATGGTTTTAGAACCGGATGATGGATCACGCGGCTATCCAACGATCAAGGCCTTTTCGGTGTATTCGTGGTTTTTGACGGCAGATGGTAAAATTGCGGAAAAAAATAGGTGCACTATGGTGTATTATTTGGTTTGCCAAAACTCTGAGTTTTTGTTGCAAGGTTTACTTCCATAATCTACAAAATGTGTTTCAACCAGCAAGAATATGGGGAGTTTGATGGGTCATCTAGCCTGATTGCAAGCTAGTTGTAGGTGCAACTACTGTAGGTGTTAGATGTTTTGATCACAGTTGCTTGCTGGGATGATCGTTAAGTCTGGTAACCTGGGAAGGCCCTGACCTTACAGACACTCAAAGCCATTGATTATTGATGGAACGCGACCATACCAGGGATGTTTCAATTGGCACAGTTGGGGGAAAAAAACAAAAACGCAAGGCTCTGCATTGTGGAGTTCTTTAGCTGGCTTACCCGGCTTATCCAGAGACCAAGATCCAAGGGAAGTTTGACCAAAATTATCTTGAGTTTCACCAGACATTCCGATGTGATTTTCATGGTCTGTGGATTGCAACCCAATCATGGTTTTCAGTTCTGCCACTTTTTCCATGAAACTGTGGGTGGAAAAGGGAATCATGATATTTGGCCATTGCTAGTATCAAGATGTATCAACTACTCACTCATGGTTTGATTCGATCATCCCATCATCCCCACTATGACTTGGTCATTTCGCCATACTGTCGTTTAAAAATCCAATGTTTACTGAGTTCATTTTCCACATCCACTAGGGGTAGCCACTGACTCGACCCACGCGTCCACTGAGTTTGGGTTTGCAGTCCACGGCCACTATGCATGAGGTGCTGGCAACTGCAAAGCACCAAATACTGGCTCATTTTGGGATTTTAGCTACATTTTTTGGGGGGTTGTGGCCAAGAAAAAAAGGACAGAATTTGGCCCGTAAAACACAAATGACTTACCCAGATGATCCAGTCTTGGACAGGTCATGAAACAAGGGCAAGTGATGATTCATCCAACTAAGAGGTCCCTGCATCAATGCAAGGAAAACCATCGAATCTTCTGGTGATTTCTCAGCAGAGATTTCACAGCTGTGGCGTTTCCCCTATGGCCCAGTCACCATCCCAAGAGGTCCCGTTTTTATGGTTCCAGGTCCCAAGTTTTTAAGGGTTACATTATCTCCAAATGTAATCCCGTCCCCCCAATCATCAAACATCAAACACTCCCATGCCAATGGTGTCCAACAAGTGATTTCGTCCCCTACATCCATGGTTTTGGCTGAGGATGGTGGAATAGATGTTGATAGCGGTTTACCATGGTTTACCTGCCACATTGCTCCATCTACAGAGAATATATAGGGGATTCAACGAACCGCCCGAAGCCAGGTGACTGCCCAGAGTAAATGCAGTTCTTGGTGGTCGAGATTTGCCCTGAAGAAGCCCAAAAATCATCGGGGGCTTACCGTAATGGGGCGGATGATCGCTTTAGACTTTAGAATACTTTAGAAATATGCCATTATATTATTGTGGTATTCTAAAGTGGTATTATAGTGATTATTATATCATAGGGGCATATACTTTATACTAACCACAATACTTTATATCATATTATATCCCTCTTATTGTGGTTAGTCTTATGCCCCAATTTTTGATGGTTACCCTCCATGGGTTTTCCATGGAAACGCCCCGCAGGTGCGGAGAGCATACCATCAGCTGGCGTTGAAATACCACCCGGACAAGAGTAAGGACTGGAGATGGCTGGCTGGATACATATGGATGCGTTTTTTTTAAGTGTATATATATAATATTATAAATCTGTATATATATAGTCTAGTTGAATATTTGAATATGAGGCTTTCAGACACTCAAAATGGGATGAACGGAACATGGTGCTTCAACCAACCTAATATTATATTATATGTGGTTGAATTACAACTTCACTGGCCGATGTCAACATACATGATGGCCAGTAAGCGGAGATCCCTTTAAAAATCACCTCCTTTCAGGTTGGTGAATTCTTGGAAATGCGACCAGAAGAACGATTGGATGTTGTGTCACGTTCTACAAGCGAGGATGGATCAACGGTTGGATGGCTGAGAAGCGATATGATGATCCAATATGGAGGCTTCCATACATGAGGGTACCCCAATAGCTGGATGGTTTTTGTTAGGGAAAATCCCATCTATAAATGGATGATGACTGGGGGTACCCCTATTTTACCAAACCCCCAGATCAATTGGGGGATGAAGATCTATTTACCAACTATCTTGACGGATAGATCAGTAACATCAGTGTTATCATCAGTCATGCCGATCCCAGATGCAGATATCTTGGCTGATTCAGGGGTTCCCCCAAGTGATAGGATGCTATCAAAATGGATCAGACGTAGTGAAAACAACCAGGATTTTATTGGTACGGCTTCAACATGAGTGGCTAAATGGATACACATGGTGCTTTGGAATACAGTACGCTTCTACAATGTTGTCATTTCGCAGGGTCTCTAAAGTTGGGCATCAGTGATCAGCAGGCTTTGGGTCCGATGGTGAAAGCATTTGGGGGTGCATTCCAGTTAGTAAGTGGTCAATAACCCTGGTATACCCCAGCTGTCTATGGCATATGGGATATCCCCATACATTTATATAATATATGATATATCTAATGTATACTATATAAAATATAAGATATATACTATATATATAGTAATATATATTATAATAATAATATAGATATATAATAATATAGATACATGGCCTATAATCCACATACTAAGACTACTAAGGTTTACCTACATCTTTTTCAGTACTGTGTACAGTTTCATCAGCGAGGCAAGTTTTTTTTGGGTGCAGGATCAGGATGACACGAAGTTCAAGATGGTGACCAATGCCTACAAGGCCAAAACAAATGTTGCTGCCGTTGGCTCAAAGCAACATGTTTGCAGGGGCAAGGTGAAACACGGTGAAATAAACACATGATAAATAGTGAGATAAAATTTGATGAATATGATAAATTTGATAAAACTCGAGGGCAGCAGAAAGTCCCCAAACTGCCAATAGATTTCAATGTAATACGTGAGGACGAGTGAGCACGTTGCTGACTGGAGAGAGGGGTGGTTGCCCATTGGGCTTGCCCAATAGGTCAGTCAGTTTGATGGCGAAAAATTGGGTCTCGTTTGATGGTACCAAACGAACCCCCGGACCACATTTTTGTCCATGCTGATAACAGTTGCTGATATATAGATTATGGATGATTATGGTACAGGGTATAGGGTACAGGGTGTGCAAACCCAAGCCCGAAACTACCAATCACCTGATTCCAAGCCGAAGTGACCTCTGGCTCCTTAACATGGCTTGGATCTTGCTGGAGAATTCCGACTTTTGCTGTGGAAAATATATGAAAATATGGAAATATGCAACAAAATGGCTAATTTCCATTGCCAGAATTCAACTACCAGTACCATTTAAGCCTTCTTTGCGACGCTTCGCACGTACTGGTTATTGGTGCATTCGCTGTTTGAGCGATGGCAAGGTGTTTTTGTCCCTTTGAAGAATATTTTTCTTTGTTCATGCGTCACTGTTTCACACTTGCGGATCGACAGGCAATATACATAATTACATACAGGTTGTTTGCTGCTGTGATAGTGATATATAAAACTACTTCAAATCAAACAGAAATACGTAATATTAATATACCACTTGCAGTAACACACATTTTAACAATCAAATGATTTGATAGTGAAATATACCACTCAACAACTCAAACATGTACAAACTGAATCCCTTCCCCCCATGGTCCACCATTCAAAGCTCACTTTTTGGGGGACGCCAGGAGGAAAGAAATATACCAAATGACTAGAACCATTTAAATATATACAATATATATATATATACAATACTGCAACATACATATATATATATATATACATATGTACATAGTATATATTATGATTAGAATTTCACAGTATGTTTAACAGTTTAACAGATCATAGTCGTAAATAGAACTTATGAATAAAAAGTATTGACAAGCATTGTTGATAGACGTTCTTCATACCTTTCCTGGTCCCGGCCAGGTCTTGTGTGAAGTTGTTCGGCACTCGGTGAAGTTGTACAGCACTTTGGGTTGATGGTTGCAGCCCGGAAGTGGAACTGTGGAAGATGTTGAAATGATAATTTCCACCGGAGATACTCTGATGTTCAACCATCGAAATATAGAAATGGGATGACGTTCCCCGATGGCATAGTGAAGCGCTGAAACCACCAAGTAATATCTTTGAAAGCCATTTTCGGGATCGCGAATCGCTTCAAGCTGCCACTGGGTGCTGCCACACCCTCCCCATGTCGGAGCCTCGGCATGATCCAGCTGGATCTCTGGATGTGGAAGCACATGCGGAGCAGTCTCCTTTACTGGGTCACTTGGTCCCAAAGGCCACCCAAAGCGGGCCTGGGGGAGATGTACGTTTAGTGTGTAATCCACTAATTTTATCTAATTTTGATGTGTTGCTGTTATTATCATCATGACTACGTGTATAAGTTCAAAGTTTTATTATATGGTGTTTATTTAATTCTGGTTTGTTGATGTCATCGCATTTTTTTCGGTATGGCAATGGAAATTCCTCTATAAATGGAGGTTTTAAAGCGAACATCATCTAGAAATGGTGGGTTTGCCATTGCCATGCTTGATTACCGGAGGGTATGTTTGTTCTACTTCTGTCTATGCAGTGTGGCCTTTTTGGTCCTTGCAGCCCAGGGCCTAACATGGGTTTGTCTGAAAATAGGGTATATTCCCAATTATAGCCATTTAATAGGGATAATGTTCATTAACCATTGGGTTTAGGGGTACACTATTTTCAGACACACCCACATGTTCTTCTTTTTTCCAGGGTGACCATCTGATGCTTCTTTTATTCGTCCATGTTGACAACTTATGTGACCAGAGAACAAACGTATGTCCATTGCTAAAGTATCTAAATTCCCATGAAGACGACGATACACGCCCAAGATCTCCCCAGACTAGTGGGTGTAGGTGTGCTGTGTGTTGTTTTCCGTCCCTGCTAAGTTTTCCCGTTCCATATTATATAATATAATATATAGATATATATGTGTGTGTGTTTATATTTTACTATAATACTATCTCATAATATGTGTACATATATATATATATATATACACACTTGATAATGTGTTTATTTATTTACTTATTGTTCTATTTATTTATGGTGGTTGCAAGGATTCCTACTGGATATGGGATACAGTTTCTCAGGCCCGACCCGAAGGTTGGGTCAATTCTAGTCTGGAAAAAGCAAGCAAACCTTTGGGGCTCACAGTTCCCTTAATGAAATCTACATGATTTTGGTGCATGCGACCGCCAGCAAGCCAATGTTATTTCATGTTACTTCCTTGATTTCGCAAGCATTTGCAGAAAAAGAGGCTGCATCACCCAACATGTAGCCATCAAAATGGGCGCATAAGATTCCTATGTGATGTCATTTTTTCCCAGGTGACATGGTGACATGAAGATTTTCGGGGTCATGGAGGTCGCGTGTGGCTCAAGCATCAGTCATTGGAATGATCCCTAAAGTTACTATATGGTTGGTAAATCGGCTACAACCCAAGCATTTGCTATGAATAGAATTCATCATTCAGAAGGGATCATATTCAGAAATGGACTAGGGTAGTCCAAACGGCAATGAGGAATGGAATTGTGAAGCAAAACTAAAGAAAATGAAAGAAAATTTGCCTCGGAGCCCCCAAAATATGTTAATTTAAGCTTATTTATTTTAATCTGTTCATTTTTTGATTTATTGGTTATTTTTGTATCTCTTTTTTTTCATATTTTTATTACTATTGTTGTTATTATGGTTTTTGTTTTTTATGTATGTGTTTCCTTTTTGTTTGTTTCTATGTTTTTCTATCTTTTCAGTTTTGGAAGGCAATTGAAGAAAAATCTAGCTGGCTACCCGGCTACCCACAAGAAATTAATGTGTTCAATTATGTTTTAATATTTTTTGTTATGTTCAATAACTTTCCATATTTTTTCTACATTGTAAGTATTTTTGCTTATTTGACAATTTGGTATTATTTATTATTATTTTACTTTATTATTGTATTATCATTATTTTACTTTTTTCCAGGCTCCATTATGATCTACCCTGCTTAGACTCCCTTTTCTCATAGAAGAATGGGTGGTCTATTTACCATTATTTATTAACCATAAAACCCAGCCTTGAATTGGATCATCCTGAGTGTCGGTCGGTTGGTTGAATCTCTATTTTTTTCTGCCAGTGCAGACGTGCTATGCCGGTCTTCCAGGGCCGAGTAGCGTCGCCTTATCACCCCTTCAAAGGTTCTTCAGTGTAATTGTTTAAACCGAACATGGTCGATAGTGTACCTGGTGAAGAAATAAGTGATCAATGCATAGTTTGGATTAGTTTGGTGGTGTTGAAACATGCTGAAACTTTCATTTTTTATTCATGGGTCATAAATATACGTAGCGTATATATATATATATTGCATATATATATAATATATATAATATATATATATTATATATACATACATATGTGGGTGCTTATAAACACAATATATTAAACCATTTACCAAGCATTGACAATCCATAACTCCCAGCTCAGGTGACCTTGAGCGTCAGGCCTCCTGGTGGTCAAAGGTGGTGACGGTGGCAATCACCAGCCTAGTGGTAGCGCTACCTGGCTGAAATGAGGACAGGACCCAAAATGATATGGGTGGTTTACGGGAATTTCATACCATAGGGATATACTGAGATTGAATAGGCATATAGTAGGGAGATTATGGGATACGCTTCGTATTTGGTTCTGACTCTGGTGTTTAGCCATCAACGATGTCCCAATATGCTTGTTTAAGCAACAAAAACGTGTTGTTTAACCGTTTAATCATGGAAAACAGTGGTGCAAGTGCAAACCAACCATCACGAGAATATAATGTGGATACAATCAACAATATATGTATATACATAGAGATTTGGAGTTATGTCCAGACATGAAGGTATGATTTATCAAACGTGCTGAGGATTTTGTGGTTACATAATCGGATATACAATATTGGGATCTAGTGGGATATATAATATACTTATTGCGTATGTATATATAATTATATATATATACACATATGTATATACTGTATATAATTATATATATATACACTTTGACATCCAGTCGTACTAGAAAAAGTAACCCCCCCATGGTTTCGTACTAGTTTTCATGAAAACGAATGAAATATGGCAAATGGTTCAAATTTTGTCAAAATAGTGATCTTCGCATCATTTGTTTAAAGCGTATCACTTTTTAGAGGCACCACACACAAACGGAGAGAAAAGCATAACGCAACTCGAGCGCAATTTTGCGCAACTCGAGCGCAATTTGAAAATGTAGTACACTTTGCAAAAATCCATCAGCAAAATTGTTTACTTTTTTGGAAGGCGATTGTTGAAACGACAACTTTTTAATTCGTGTCATTTTTTTCTAGTACAAATGGACGTCCAGGTGTGTATATATATATATATGTTATAATCACATATGCCCATTGTATACCATTGTAATCCCATTGATATCCCAATTGTATCCCGGTTTTTATCCCCACTATTCACCCATAACAATCAAACCATCGCAAAAACATGGTGAAACATGGAAATTCTCTAGACCAGCATATATCGTATGGAGTTGGTTATTATTATATCCCATTATATCCCATTACTTCCCCATCGCATCATCATTTGTAGAAAATTGTCCCCAGATTTTGTTGGTTACCCTCCACTTGGTTCGATGATTTCCCATTGCCATGTTTGATTACTGGAGGGTAAATTCCCATTGTATCCCAATTATTGTCCCGTTATCATTCCTTATAAAACTATTATACATATACATAAATATCCAATTGTATCCATATAAATCCCACTAATTCCAAATTTTGGACCACAGCTCTTCGGTTATTCACGAGGTCATCCCTGCTTCTTCTTGAGCCCTCGGCTGCAAAGCCCAGCCACAACGGGCACGTCGCCAAGCTGTGACTCGACGCATTGATGTAGCTATGGAAAATCACCATTTTTAAGAGGTAAATCAATAGATATTAAAAAATGGTGATTTTAATTAATTAGATGATCAACATGTATCATTTTAATTGATATTAATGATAGATGAAAATCAATGCAAATCATCTTAAATCATTTATTTCTATGTGTCAAGGCTTCCATAGCTATGTTAAACAGCCAGAGGGTGTGCCATATGACATATACATTATGTGTTATCTGTTGTGTATATATATATATGGATATTGTAATCATATACATGCATCATATGACATAGATAGTATACATAAATCAAGACCCTGCCGATGATCGGACCTGACTTCGGTGAGCTATGGAAGCCAGGGCTCATCTATCATTTGTGGATGATTTAGCTATCAAACATGGTGATTTCCATAGCTATGTGAGTCTGATCAGAGGGTATACAAGTAAAACCACGTAAAAACTCAACAAGACTACTATTGACCTTCGCAAATTGTCCAGTTGTCCCGCAACATTTTTTTTACACGAAGACCTGGTTGACTTGTTTGTCCAGCCATCTCAATCAAGTCTGTGGGTCCTTGGTACGTAATTTACTTATATAATAGCAAAATGTTTGAAGCTTAAAACCATCACCCGATTTTCATTTGTCCATGTTATTTATATATTATGATATTATGTACAGATCATATTTGGTCAATAGGTTATCCTAGGTTATTATAGCCCACCATGTTCCATTTTTTCATGATAGCCCCATTATCGTTTTGATGCCACCGTTTTCGTTGGTTAACTCAGGAGAACTTGGAAGCGGAACCCGGGATATCGGGATAGCTATACAACGCACATTAAAAAATTGGGAAAATGATGAAAACCATTGAATTTTTGTGGTTTTAAAAACCCAACTATGATATTACAATATGGTTACATGTTTTCATGGGTTGGTTTAAAGCCAAATATAAATTTTACATTATTTTTGGTTTCTAAAATGATTGTATCATGGTTATTGGCAATGATTTCATTGGTTGGTTATATGATTTCATGGAGATTTACATGATGTGACATTATTTTGCACAATTATTAGTTAGTTGGGTTTGTTACATATTACACTGACAATATGTTATACATGGACCATAACCAACCTATGATTTTACCAGCCATGGCTGGAGGTTTCCTAAACTGGGCAAATCATCCAAGTCATGGATAATCCCAAAAAAAATATCTCAAGTACATATTATCCCATGAAATGATCCCATAGGGCCTATCCAACATCATGAAGCCATCATTCTCCCATAATATCCCTATATCCTACAATAAATCCCTACAGGTGCCATAATTAACCAAGGTCAAGGGTGCCAAAGAAGACCCTGGCACACGGGAAAGCACGGACCATGTTGGATGGCGGCGCGCGCACTCCGAAGGACCGCAGTTAGTGCAAGGGATACCCCCAGCAACATTGGTGGAACCCTGGAAAATTACAGTATGTGGAAAATTATGGACAATCAGTGGAAAATCATGGAAACTTATGATAAATCAGTGGAAAATGACCAAAATGATGGTTCAGCAGTGGATTTGGGGATACCTAGTCTTAAGACAAACCGATACACCAACCGGCGAGAAATTATGCTTTTGGTAATCTCTTAGTGGGTGATACGTACAACAAACATGCGGAAAAAAATGGAAGAATCAACAAAATAAGTTCATAGGAACGGTGTATCCAAAAAAACCATACCGAAATCCTTTTTTCCATCAAACATGGGGCAAATCCAAGTAAATTGCGTAAATTCCCTTCAACCAATGGAGTGCAGCAACAGTCTCATAGGGATAGTTCTGGGAAAATTTGGGTGCAACGTCACTGGAGGACGAGATTTGAATCACATTTGAGAGAGATTTTGGTATGATGGATCCTAAAATGATCATCAACCACCTATATGTTGATGGTTTCAATCCCACCCATAAAAATGGCAAGTCCTTAAGGATGTTGGATCCTGCCTGATGAACCCCAAGCATCGTTTATGGTGTCCAGTCTGCGACCTCGATCCTTACCCTGAAGTTAGTTATATAAGTGGATACCCGGTAGGGTTGAGGGATTCGAATTACCCTCAATTACTCAAAACCAAGATCTGGTTCCAATGCTTCAGCGAGGATTCTCTGGGTGCCGCAAAAATGGCCACATCGAAATGGAAAAGCGAGAGAGACAAGGACGTCAGGAAGTGGATCCCTAGTTGGTACAAAGTAAAAACCTTAGATCTGTATGTTTTAGGGAATACTTGAAGTGGAGAAGCACAGATTTTAAAAAATCGTAGGAATCCTAGGTCACTGAAAGGGGCGCCATGTGAAGCAACTCACGTCGTTTTGAGATAAACATAATTTGGCTTACTTGTGCTTAGTAGGGAATGAGGGAATGATCCACAACTATCAATAATAATCCCATTCCCCCATTCCCATCCATTCCCCACTAAGCACCAGTAACTTGGGTTTTGACTGAAAATGAAGCCCCATTTTTTGGCACTTTAGTGAGGAAAGTGATGAGAAAACATGATAAACGACTGGATTTGGGTCTACCCAATTTCCGACGAGCTGATTTGTTGGATTGTTTTCCGATTGGGATTGTGTTTGCTTTGTGTCAGTCTATGTCATCTTCTCTTGATGATACACCGGTGTATTTGTTGCTAGAAACTCATAAAAACGCCATGTTCATCGGTAACGTCGAACATATTGTTGTTGGTTGAGTGTCACGCTTCCTAGTGCTTTTCCCATGCTGGGGTGGTGTTGGCACCAGATGCGTCGATCCTTCCGCAGGATCAGACACCTCACATCGTCGCTGGATGACAGATGGCAGGGGAACATCAGGGGCTTGGATGAGGTAACGAAGCTCTTGATCATTTCAAACATGTGGGGCGTTCTTGAAATCCGGGATAGGAAAAGACCATGGGTTTCAATATCAAAATATACTGTATAAAAGATACTAAAAGAGTCTCATGACTTGGATGATTTGGGTGGTACCCCCATCTTAGGAAACCTCCATGTAGATTTTTCAAACTCACATGGGATGAGCCCCAATTGCGGAGCACCTGTTTTTCTGAATGACTGCCTCAACCGCCAGGTACATAGCCCATCAGTAGAGAAATTGAGGGGTCAAGGGCCCGAGGGGCTCCAGGAGATCCTTGACCGACCCCTGGTTTCTTGTCCCGTTGCCGGTGAGGTGTTCGTCAAGAAAGAGACAGGCCACGGAGGGACTGAGAGTTACTCGTCGCCATTACAAGATGCCCTTAGAGGTTAACCTGAAGTGTGGGGTCTTTGTCATGTCGTATACAGAGTCTATCATTTTGAGGGGTCATCATTATTGAATGGTGTGAATTGTATGTATTTAAGTGATAAATAGTGATAAAACATTGTAAATGATCGTACATTGTAGAATTATAGCATACAAGTTACTGATGTAGGCTTTTGCAAGGCCAAGGGGATTAATTATAGATATAAAATGTGGGCCCTGACCCCTGAGGGTGAATTTCAAGGGGAATAATTATATACTGCTTTTTACCACAACCCCCCAAAAAGACGCAGGAAAGTGAAATCATTCCTACTACAATACAGTGGTAACCAGCAAAAAGATGCCGACACGTGTTTCCAGGTACTTCGATGATATTTACCACCATTTTCCTTTTCCTTTGCATCTCAACGAGTCAGCTCTAGCGGAAACGTTCAGGACGCAGGATTCTTACCTTACCTCCATCGTGCCTGAGATTCCAGGCATATTGCAGTCTTTGACCGCCGTCGGCAATCGAAGCAGCTGACGGCCGTCACGTTTGGCCGGTCCCTGAAGACGCGCACTCATCCAAGCTTCAATGGCATCCAGCCTGTCCATTGGCCACGGGAGCCAAGCGCACGAGGCATGCAAAATAAGTGTTTCAGAATGTGGCCGTGTGAACGCAACTCTGATATTGTAGATCCAAAGCTTCCAGAGCTCTTTAACCAAATGGGTAAACCATCGACACCGCAGCTTAAAGGAAATATCCAACAGGTCTGCATTGGGCCTGGAGCCCGGGTCAGTCCATCGGTCCTGCTTGATTGGACCTCCTTCGCCACTGCACAACATGTAGTCGACATACAACTGGTAGAAGGAAATCCAATGAGCATGAGAGTTAGAAAAGGTCTCGCGCGCGTTCTGAAACCATTTTGCAGTCTGGCAGACAATACGCTCTCCAAATTTCGTACACATGCCAGCCGAAACCCAAGGCTGTGGATCCAAAAACCCGAAGTCACCACCATCAGCACTAGGCTTAGGCACAATTTCTGCCGTTTGGCCGTGGGCTTCTTCATCAGCAGCGGTCTGGTGTTGGATCACTGCGCGGCTAATGGCTAAAAGAACCTCTTGCACCTCACGTGAAACAAACATGGCAAAACGCGTGTCAGCAATGTACTGTGCATGTAGTTCAAGAAAAGCATGTGGTCGCAACAAATGAGCAACATTGGCAGCATGGTCAACCAAACCATTGTTCACAAAACACCATCCATGCACAGCAGTGGTAGCGTGAAGTCCATCTTGGTGACTTGCAACTTTTGTGACAATCAGGGAGTCTGGCCCTAGTTCGGATACCAGTTCAGCCAACTCAATCCACAAGTCTGAGTGACGACAATTAGGCTTGATACGCAGTTTGCCATGCTGGAGTTTATGCAGTTTACTTACAATGCCCTGACAATCACACCAGAGACGTACTTTGCATCCAAGAGCCCTTCCAATCCGCAATGCCTCAACGGCAGCCCTCAGCTCAGCACGAAATGCAGTCTGAATCATTCCCTGAAGTGGGCTGGCAGCTAAAACAACAGATCGCATGGCCTCAACCTCCAGTTGAGTTGGGTCAGCCTGGGCTACAGCCCAGCTTGCCAATCGCCACGGCATATGTGGGTATTGACAAGAGCCATCTGTAAAAAGATCAACCCAGTTCTGGTGAGCTGGCAAGGCACAAGAAAGGTCAGGCGCAGGCTCACAAATGTCAAGGAGAGATTGCATAAATGATTTCCATGTGGCAGGCATGATGCCCCACCCAAAACAAGTAAGGAACTCAGGCAGCTGCGGAATCATGCTCCAAACCAAAGGATGAACGTGACTGCGGTAAGCTGAAAACATCTCACATTGCCAAAACCTGTGGTATCGGGAGTCAGAACAAGAACAAAATGGGCACATCCCAGTAGGTTCATCACACCAATACTGCTTAGCATCAGCAGTGAAATGAGCTCCGTTGAGCAACTTTCGGCAATGACCTGCATCTTCGGCTCCCTGTGCCGCAAGCCACAAACGTGTGGATCTGACATCGGCCAACTGCAAGTCTTGCAACCCCTGTCGGTGGCTGACTTGTTGCGCAACTACCCCTTGCCATCCCATCGCGGCCCGTGCCTCGATATCCAAGAAATTGGACTGAAACAGGCAAAAGGGACCACGGCTGTCTTGGAACCTACCATCATCTCGCAGCGACCACCCAAGCTTCTGCACCCTAGCTAACAAGGTCTGGGTAAATGAGTTGGCAGGCACCCCTGAAGGATCAGTCACCAAACGTGTCAGGGCCGGCCTCAGGAAGTCAGCTGTAGCACTATCCCTGACACAACGAATGGTCTGCATGATGCACCAAAAGCCTGGGTCGCATAGTGGATTTTCAATGAGGCCTAAATGGATCCATGGGCTGCAGCCCGCTCCATCGGCTTGCAATCCTCGCATAGCTCCCGAACGCAGTCTGGCAATCCAGTGGTTTCCAAGGGCTGTCGAGGCAACACCATGTAACCCTTTGGGCCATGCTGCGACAGTCAGGGCACGGACCTTGAGCTTGTATGGGCTACTGGAGAGTCTAAGCCGGTCCCACATTTCAGTAAGGGAGCGGGCGCGCTCTTGAAGAGTTGAGTTGGTATGCTGTCGCGTCAACTGCAAATGAGCTCCAAGATTGCGGCCTCCATGGCCAACTTGATACCCCTGGGAACGGAGCATTTGTCGGCCTTCTCGGGTCAGGCACCAAACATACGTTTTCTTACGGTCCAAATTGAGATCTACCATTCTGCAAAAATGTTCAAGGTTCTGCATTGCATGCATGACCTGGCTGGGGTCTTGAAGGAGCATCTGCCAGTCATCAACATAGGTGAGGGTGCGGCACAGTCGCGTCCCTTCTTCCATCCACCAATGCAAGGCACAGTCCAAAAGGATCATGGCAACCACAGATAAACCATCCCCCTCAGGGAAACCTGTGCAACTATATGTGGCTGGGGACAAAGACTGTCGGACTTCGAAGTGTCTGGAGACCTGAGTAAGCATACCCGCCCACCCTGTCAGCACATTCATTGGCATCTGCAAGAGAGTGGCAATGGCAAACACAACAGTACGGCTAAGGCAATTAAATGCTTTCTCAATGTCGCAGACAACTCCCGCTAGGGGGATGGCACATTCAGTGGCCTCTTCGATGGCAAGCAGGATGCTAGACCAGACATGACCTGAGTGACAAGCCAACCTGGACCCAAAAAGGCCCGCAGGAAGCCAGGGGTCCAATGCAGCAATCAAATTGCGAGAGTGGAAGGAACTCCAAACTCTGTATCCCAAGCTTAGCACTGTAATGGGCCGGTAGTCGGCAGCCCCGGTTGGGGTGGAGGTCTTAGCTATGGAAGCAACCCTTCCGACTGCAAGTTGACGGGGGCCAACAACCACAAAGTTCAGCATGTTCAAAGAAGCGGCAATAGCTTTGGATGACCCCAGAGGGCATATGCTTCAAATCAGCCAAACTAACCCCATCGAGACCTTTGGCAGTGCGGGTTTTCTTACGTCGCAGTTCAGCGCGCACATCGGCTTCAGTCATTGGACCTGAGACACACTGGATGGGTCGTGCAAACTTCTGAGCAAACTGGAGGATGTCATTCCATTGAGATTCTGGGACATGCTTATGGCGGTCCCAACGTTTGGACCAGGTGGTTCGGAATTCAGCAAAAAGGTCTTCCAAGGCACCAGTGAATTTCACCTGGGTGCAAACATTCCCTATGGACAGTTGGTTCATCGGGTCCAGCCATAGCCAATCCTCTTCATGGTGCACCACGTCAAAAGGGTTACCATCAACATAGACTGGGTGGGTCAAGTCCCACGCTCGAGACGCATCAACTTGGATGCAACCCATGTCAGCATCTACATGAATGACCTTCGCCTGGGTTGGGCAAATCAGCAAATCAAGGCTTTCAGGACCAGGAACACGAAGGTCCTGGAAAATGAGCTGGGGGTTGGCCAAACGTCGTGCTTTAGCATTGGCCCGGCTTGATCGCCTCAAATCAAGTTCAAGTTTGCGCAAGGCCAGCAGGCAAGTATCATAGATGGATTGGGCAACACCATGGTCAGGTGGATGCTCAGGAAGCTCAGCAGGGGCTCCATGGACACGAGTGGTGCTGTGTCTCCACCATTCTGCAAAACTTGGTTCAAAACCCTTGGCACGTTTAATGGCACCCCAAGTGGAGCCCGCATGGGACGGGTCAGCTGTGGGCCTCCTAACCTTCACAAACCTGACAAAAGCCTGCAGGCGTCGCACCTGTCGATACCAATGAGCATGTTTCAGGCAAATGCCGAAGTAGGAAGGCTGCACATCACCAGCCCTTGGGGCACGGAGAGGAGCATGGGCATGTCCCACAACTTTCCGTGGTTTCAAGGTCTGAGCTCGGCCCCTGGAGGCTTTGTCAATTGGCACAGGGCTCGCACGAGAGGCCGTTTCCTCAATCACAGCCCACATCTGGCGGTATTGGGCAGTTTCTTGGCCTGCCTGGATGGCTTGCACCGGGTGAACTTCAAACTGAGGCCATGCAACAGGCTGGGGCTGTCGCCACACATACCTGGGTATATCACGGTTTGTCCCCTTGAAGAATCCAGCTAAGACTGCGTGGTCAGGCCAAATGCTTGGGTCAGTGGTGGTGCGAACCAAAAGTTGTTGAAGTTCGGGGCTGATGTAACAGAAATCAACCCTAGTGGAACTCTTGCAGGTGTTGGAGATAGAGTATCCCCACCTTTCCCACGCAAGGGTTTGCAAATCTTTGAACCCGGTAGCATGCAGGATGTTGAATGCAGTGACATCATCTTCACCTACATTAAAATCCCCAGCGACGACCCGCAAACCGCTGGCATTGAGACAAACCTGTGTGGCCACCGCCTGCAAAATGCGATTGGTATACAAAAGATGATTAGGGTGCCAAGTACCAGCAGACTCACCATAAATGGTTTCTACGGTAACCC